AAATTTCCCTTGGGAAAATTTTAATTCCTATCACTGGCAAGAAACCTTGTACTATCTGCTGTCATTGAAAAGCAGTAACATAATTCATTCTAGTGTATGGTAGTAAGATCCTCTTATCTCATTAAATTTAAAATATGTATTAAGTATTTTACTTAATTAGAAGGCGATTCTATTTTCGAGGGTCTCCAGTTTGTGGGATGGTTCCTCATGTGAGTCCATCTGTGAGTATAGAAATTCATCCAGTCATTTAGTAAATATTTATTAAGCACTTACTGAATGCCAAAAACTGATCTAGGCATGTGGGGGTATCTTCAAGGAGCTTTAATCTGAGGAAAGGGTAGGACTGAACATAATAAGTAACTACTGTATAGTGTAAATAATTATTGTATCGTATAAAAATAACTATTATATAGTATGTTAGAAGTGGTAAGTGCTGTGGAGAAAAAGAGCAGAAACACTGACCTAGTAGTAGGTCATCCTTTCTTTAGATGAGTAGCTGGGAATAGTCAGGCAAATTAGCCCAGGGCATTAATAATAAAGATCAGCCTGAAATGGTCTTTTATTTCTTTGCCCAGCCAGCTCTTTCTAGCTCTGTCTGGTGGAAATTTTTGTTTTTCCAGTCTTTTGGCTTTTTACTTGCTGGTACATTCTATCTTTCAGGTCTCAGCTGACATATATTGCCTTATCAAAAAGGCAGGACCATTAAATTGTTAAGAGTCCCTTATCTCCTGGTCCTTAAACTAATTTGTCTGTTTTGTGTTAACTAGTCTAAAACCTATTTCGTGTTAGTTGGGAGGTGCCATGGTAACCATCTCTGGTTCTGGTTTGTGCATTGCCCTGGCACATAGTAGGTTTTGAATGAATGAATAAATGAAAGTGCAAAAAGGCAGGGGATCTAAAAGGAAGCACCTTTTCTTATCTATTCTACCAAATTGCTTTAATTTCTTAAATTCTTCACACTGGTTGAAGAAATTGGATAATTTCAGTATTTGTTGCATATAGATACACGCATTGCCTTAGGGTGCTATTGATGAGAAATAGTAATTGCTGGAAAGAAAGGAGCATATTAGAATATGTGGATGTAGCTAATACAGATCTTCAAATAGAATAAAAATTTCAACTTGTACTAAATTGGAAAAGAACTTGACTAGTCTTTCAAACAGATTTTTGAAAATTTTATAATTTTTACACATATAACACAGATTATATGTGCAGTTTTTGGATGGATTTGATCATTTTCTTAAATTTCTTTTATATATTTGAACTGACTTTAAATTTATCATTGTGCTATATTTACCTTATCATTTTAGTGAGATATTTATAAATGTATAGCATGTGAAGTAGTCCGTAAACCATCAATTTCTTCAACCTTCATAAATTTCTAGCACCTTAATAAGTATAAATGAAATCCTGATTCACTAAGGATATTTTAGAAATAATAGCAGTGATACTCTTCATGTCTTATTGTAGCTGATCATAGATACTGGTAAAAACAAGAACATCCAGTATTTACTGAGCGCTGAACTCTAGGCAGTTTGCAAGAGGCTTTTCATACGCAGTAGTTTCTACTTTGTAAGTATGGAATTAGAGATACAGAATGGTCAATGGGTAACCTGTGCAAGGTCACACAATCAGTGAGTCACTAGATTCAGTCACTGAATCGAGCAGGGCAGTTCAGCAGCCCACATTCTTAACTACCATGGCATGCTGCCAATTCTTTGTGCCACCATTCCTTTACTCATTTCCTTACCCTTGTGTATTATACTCTTGTTGGGGCTCTGAATAATTTCTATAGGAATTTAATCAATAAAGATCACTTTTAGCTTCCTGAGAATCTTCTAGAACATCTCAATTAGGTGATTACACTGCTAAATGAAAACAGTAGGGCATGTAGGGGCTTTATTTATTTTTAAGATATATTTACTCATTTGAGAGAGTGTGCACGTGAGTGAGAGGAGCGGCAGAAAGAGATGGAGAGAACCTCAAGCAGACTCCCACTGAGCATGCAGCCTGAGGCAGTGTTTGATCCCAGGACCCTGAGATCATGAACTGAGCTGAAATCATGAATCAGATGCTTAACTGACTGAGCCACCCAGGTGCCCCTAGAGTCCTTATTTTCATAATCCAAATTACAAATCCTTATAATTTCTACTCAAAGAAACATCTCTTAGAACATAAATCTTTTTTGTCTCTCATTTTGCATGGTGACTAAATATCTCACAAAAAGTACAACCTTTATCTGTGGCATATATGCTGGAATTATTTTGTTACTTTTATTACTTTTGGTATATTTATCTCTAATGGTAACATTGAGAGATAGAGGAGGGAAAACAAAGAACAAAATTCAAGAAAGCAACCTTCTAAATGGGAGAAGATATTTGCAAATAATATATTTGATGAGAGATTAACATCTAAAATATATAAAGAACTTGGGCAGCCCAGGTGGCTTAGTGGTGGTTTAGCTAGCGCTGCCTTCAGCCCAAGGCATGATCCTGGAGACCTGGGATCAAGTCCCACATCAGGCTCCATGCATGGAACCTGCTTCTCCCTCTGCCTGTGTCTCTGCCTCTCTCTGTGTGTCTCTCATGAATAAATAAATAAAAATCTTTAAATAAAATAAAATAAAATATATAAAGAACTTATACAACTCAATACCAAAAAACCAAATAATCCAATTAAAAAGTAGATGAGGACCTGCATAGACATTTTTCCAAAGAAAAAATACAGATGACCAATTGCCACATGAAAAGTTGCTTAGTGTCACTAATCATCAGGAAAATTCAAATCAAATATACAATGAGATATCACCTCACATTTGTCAGAATGACTAAAATCAAAAAGATAAGAAAGAGCAAGTGTTGGTAAGGATGTGGAGAAAATGGAACCCTTGTACATTGTTGGTAGGAATGTAAACTGGTACAATCATTGTGGAAAATAGTATGGAGGTTCCTCAAAAAATTAAAAATAGAATTCCCTTGATCTAGGTATTCCATTACTGGGTATTTACCCCCCTAAACCCCCCTAATCTGACAAGATATATGCATCCCTGTTTACTGCAGCATTATTTACAATAACCAAGATATGAAAACAACTCAAGTATCCATTGATAAATGAATGGATAAAGAAGATCTGGCGTGTATATATATACATAGATGTGTGTATGTGTGTATATGAATATTACTCAGCCATCAAAAAGAATGAAATCTTGCTATTTGGAATGACATGGATGGAGCTAGAGAGTATTATGCTAAGTGAAATAAGGCAGTCAGAGAAAGATAAATACCACATGTGATTTTACTCATATGTAGAATTTAAGAAACAAAACAAGCAGAGGGAGGAAAAAAGAGAGGTGGGGGCAAACCTGAAAACTCTTAACTATAAAGAACAAACTGATGGTGACCAGGGCGGAGGTGGGGTGTGTGTGAAATAGGTGATGGGGAGGGCACTTGTTGTGATGAGCACTTGGTGTTGTATGGATGTGTTGAACCACTATACTGCACAACTGAAACTAATATGACACTATATGTTAACTAACTTTTTTTAAAATTTTTATTTATTTATGATAGTCACACACACAGAGAGAGAGAGAGGCAGAGACACAGGCAGAGGGAGAGGAGAAGCAGGCTCCATGCACCGGGAGCCCGACGTGGGATTCAATCCTGGGTCTCCAGAATCACGCCCTGGGCCAAAGGCAGGCGCCAAACTGCTGCACCACCCAGGGATCCCCCTTAACTAACTTAATATAAATAAAAACTTAAAAAGGATGAAGAAGATGTATATATACACAATGGAATATTACTCAGCTATAAAAAAGAATGAAATCTTACCATTTATTAGAACATGGATGGGCCTAGAGAGTACTATGATGCTAAGTAAAGTAAGTCAGAGAGGAACAAATACATGAAATATGTTTTCAGGGCAGCCCTGGTGGCGCAGTGGTTTGGCGCCGCTTGCAGCCTAGGGTGTGATCCTGGAGACCCGGGATCGAGTCCCACATCGGGCTCCCTGCATGGAGCCTGCTTCTCCCTCTGCCTGTGTCTCTGCCTCTCTCTCTCTGTGTCTATGAATAAATAAATAAAATCTTAAAAAATAAAATAAAACCTTAAAAAAAGGAAGTATGTTTTCATGTATATGTGGAATCTAAAAGAAAATTTAAAAAAAATAAAAAAACATGCTCCTAAAATTAGAGAACAAACTAGTTGTTGCAAGTTGAAGGAGTAGATGAGAGAAATAGAAAGGGATTAAGAGGTATAAAATTGTAGTTATAAAATAAAAAAGTTACAGAGAGGAAAAGTTACAGCAAAGGTAATATAGTTAACAATACTGTAATAATGTCATGTGGTGACCGGTGACTATACTTAGCATGGTGAGCATTTCACAATGTACATAATTGTTGAATCACTATGTTAGATATCTGAAACTAATGTAACATTCTATGTCAACTATACTTCAATAATAAAAATCAAGAAAAAAATTTTTTTAAAAGAAAGCTATTTCTACAGTTTTATTTCTTCTGAATTTTTATTGACCTGAATCACTTTACTTAATGGACTTCTCATTTAAAGTGGAAGCAATGATACAGAAGTTGTCATATCAAATTATTTCACTAAATTTGCTACCAAAATTTGTGATTTTCTTCCCCCCTTCACCTTAGTGTTTCATATTTACCTGTTCTAGAAAGTGGAAATTTGGAAGGGGCCCTTTTAGAAGGGCCTCTTACAATTTAACTGATCAGGGATATATGAGACCACACCCAGAAAGGATGGTTAATAGTAATCCTTTCACCATTGTGTTTAAAGCAGAACTTCAGATATAACATCATTGCGAACCAGTCCCAAACAGCCTTGAGATACAGAGAAGGGAGGTGACTTCCTTTAAGGAGGAGGGAGAGAGAGATCACAGCTTGCCCGAAGTGAATAGTAGAGTAGGAAAGCCAACAGCGTAATTTGTGTTTCAAATCCTCTGTTTCTGTGCACTGAAGTTTTCTTGTTTGATTTCAGAATGAAGAGAAAGTTCTATTCTTGGGATGAATGTATGAATTTGAGAGAAGTTAAGGTAAAATCCTGCTGATGAAAAGAACCCAAAGAGGCCTTCCCTCTGCCCTACCCTGTCTCGTTTCTGAGGACGGTAGCTAAAGGGATTGTTCTGTTCTTTGTGGGAAGCAGTCCAAAAATAACTGTTATTTCTTTTGTTTTTTTTTTTTTTCTTTATCTTCCTAAGTAAAGTAATTTCTCATTTGTTACCTGAATGTCAGTAAAGGACAGAAAAAAAACACTATACCCTCATATTTGAACATATACTCTCACTTTTAAAAGAGCATTTTCATTCATGTCATCAAAGGAAAGACAACTTTTAATTAATACATACCATTTCTTTCTATTTTATGCTCTATGACTTGGGTAAACTTTTATGTATGGAATTTCACATTGTTAAGTCAGAAAAAACTTTAGGCCTATTGAATAGACTGAGAAAAAAATGTGACAGATTGAAATGTTTGGTAGGTATTATTGACTTGGTTTATTTTTGTACCTCATTCGTTACTTAAAACAATTACCACTTACTTTAGATTGGTGTTCTAAGATGTTCTTAGTCATGTAAAATATTATATAAAAACTTCAAATTTTATATAAGATATTATATAAAAACATTAAAACTTCATGAATTCAGAAGTAATGGAAGATAACGTAAGGTAATTATCATAGAGATTGATAAGATTTTGACAACTTCTATAACTTTAAGAATTCTAATGCTTATTTGCTGTGTTACACACAGTCTCTGAAGAAACTCAATCATGCCAATGTGATTAAACTAAAAGAAGTTATCCGAGAAAATGACCATCTCTATTTTATATTTGAATATATGAAAGAAAACCTCTATCAATTAATGAAAGACAGGTATGTCTTTATTTTATAAAATGATGTTTTCTCTGTTATCTCCTCTATGAGTTTGTTGAATCCCTTCATATGTCACACTTTACAGTGTACAGATTTATCACTCCAAGAGGAGGATCTAAATTAATTAGCTGTTACCTTTATAACCTTGAAGAACCAGCCTTGACATAGTCACCATTTTTCTGATGTAAACATACACACTATCTATCTATACTTTCTGAAACAAAATCTATCTATATTTTGGCTTATTGTGTGGCTTATTTGTTTTTTAAGAAGGCTCCACACCCAGCATGGAGCCCAACATGGGGCTTGAACTTAACGACCCTGAGATCAAGACCTGAGCTGAGATCAAGACTCAGACACCTAAATGGCTGAGCCACCCAAGTGTCCTCAAAATCTTTCTATACTGAGGGTACACTTGACGGGATGAGCACTGGGTGTTATTCTGTATGTTGGTAAATTGAACACAAATAAAAATTAATTTGGAAATGTAAAAAAAAAAAAAAAATCTTTCTATACTTTTAATACTAATAAAGCTGGCCGTGGACAAAATTGAGATTACTTTTATTGCTCTCACAAGCATTTTGTGAAGGTTAATGAAAGGAGGGAGGAAGGAATGAGGCAGTTTCATGAAGGGATCTAATAAGTTCATTTATTCGAATGTTTAAGTGGGGGATACCTGAGTGGCTCAGTGGTTGAAGTGTCTGCCTTCTGCTCAGATTGTGATCCCTGGGTCCTGGGATCGAGTCCTGCTTCTCCCTCTGCCTATATCTCTGCCCCTCTCTCTGTGTCTCTCATGAAAAAATAAATAAAATCCTTTTAAAAAAAATGAATGTTTAAGTGAATGATAAAACAATGTTACTACCAGTGCCAAACAAATTCTCCTTTTCATTTTTAAACCCATGAACAGAATCTCTAAAGCGGGAGAGCTTTAGTCATCTGCCATGAATTTGGGGACATTAGTATTTCGGTGGTAGCTGTCGGTCACACGTGGGAGACTACTGTCCATTTTACCTGCTTTTAAAGCCAGGTTTGTTCAACAAAAGATGCTAAGATACTTTAGAAATATATTTCCCAGTGGAATGATGACTGCTCTCTCTATATTCCTTTCATACATACACATAAACACACTCGAGGTAATCCTTAGGGATGGTGAGTGAATTTTTCTTTTGTCATATTTTTCCTTCTTTCAAAAAAAATACTTAGTAAATGCCTGTTAGGTTCCATAGGCTGGTATCATTACGACATTCATAGCAGTTAAAATAAAAGTAAGGAAAATATCTGTGCCTCAAATCAGTGTTTATTTTTCTAGAGTTTTTTCTAGCCCCTGGGATACAGGTATGCTGGTTTTTTACATAATTGCAATTTTATTGGTGATCATTTTTTTAAAAATTTTTTAAATTAATTTATTTATTTATGATAGTCACAGAGAGAGAGAGAGAGAGGCAGAGACACAGGCAGAGGGAGAAGCAGTCTCCATGCACTGGGAGCCCGATGCGGGACTCGATCCCGGGTCTCCAGGATCGCACCCCGGGCCAAAGGCAGTCACCAAACCGCTGCGCCACCCAGGGATCCCGGTGATCATTTTTTTATTTAATTGATTCACTTACAATCATTTTGTTATGCTGATATATAACCTTAACAGTTAACTACAGTTAATATGTTCTGTTAAATGACTATACCATGCTTCACTTATCTCTACTACTTAAAAGAAATAACTATCAATGGGAGAATAGATTGGTAATTGAAGTGTGTAATATTGATGGGATTATTTTGTAGCCATTAAAAGTCATAATTATAAAGATTATGAAAATGCCCATGAGTGGATAAAAAACAGGAATCAAAATTGTAATTATGAACATTGATACCTAATATAAAAGCTATGCATATAAATGCATTAGAACTAGATTAGAATACTAAAAAATCATAATCAGGTGATTAAGGCAATCTTAAATGATATATATTAATTTTTATATTGTATATTTTTGATCACATGTTGAAATATCTGGTATATATTAAGTAAAATATATTAAAATTAGTTTCACCTGTTTTATCTGCTTTGTTAATTTGGCTACTAGAAAAAATTTAAATACGTAAGGGTTTCTCATTTGTGACTCTTACTGTATTTCCAGTGGATGGTACCAGTAGACAATATAGAACTGAAGCAGTTATGCCCCTAAAATCTTAAAGCCTACATAATACAGATTTGCACACTTGACTTATCTGTTGGTTATCAGTTTTCCAATTTACTTTGCTCCTCTCGGGACAGTTTAAAATTCAGCTGTTGAATATCTGTGTAGTACATTCATTATTGGATTTGAGAGTTTTTACCAAACATCAAAACAAACAAAAATTCTAATTGTCACGTTTTAGATGTATAACCTGTAACAACTATAAAGCTATAAATCACACCTTTAACCACTCTCTTGAAGCCAACAGGGGCTCCAGGGGAGGAGGAACATTTGCCTTCTTGTTTTGGTGGGTTGGTTAATAGAATCACATGAAGGTTTATTTGTTCATGTCTTTACAGAAACAAGCTGTTCCCTGAGTCAGTCATCAGAAATATTATGTATCAAATATTGCAAGGGCTGGCATTTATCCATAAACACGGTAGGTTTAAATTTCATCTCCCTCCATCTTTATGTTACTGTCAAGGTCATGCCCAGGAATTTTAAGCTGTTAAATAATGTTATATTGAATAACTACAAATTTTCAGTATATGGCTATACACACTGACATTTTTATCTTAAAAAGTTAGAATTTCTATAATTCTATATAAAATAGAATTGCTGTAATCTACAACTATCTTCCTCTGTAGCAGAATTTGTAAATTTGTAAATTTGATAATTTACTCTCAGCATAAACCCGTCCCTACAACCTCATCTCCAGTTTTACCAAGGAAATGAAAAAAAGCAAACAAAAATGCCCTAAGAAAAGATTGGAATGCTTTGATCACATGACCACTTGTTAACATTTAAATAGTTTAAAGCACCAGTGCTATGGTATTTTATAGTTTTCTTAGTATTTACATTTGGTTGTTTCTGTTCTTCGAGTAAAATTAAATAAAGTGATTGTTCCTATTTTTATATATTTCTTATTTATGTGATCTTCATTTATAGCTTTTTATGTTTATCTAACCAATTAGTCCAGAAAGTTAACATGCTTATTATGAAAATTTTTATCAAACGTTTGTTTAGAATCACTAGATGTTTAGATATTAAATTGAAAGAGGTTGTGCTAGACCATTGCTGTGTTATGACCAAAAGCATTAGAAAATCACCATCATTAGCGTCCTTTCCTGTTTTATCTCATATTTTATATTTTCTTTTTTCCCCTTTAACTGCTACAGGAAATAATTTATTTTCCAAAAATTCTATTTATTGTTTATTCCATGTAAGCATTGTCAGAACATTCCCGAATCCCACTTTTTTTGTCCTTTAAAAGTCGAAAGCCTGTGATAATATACTGCAATCCATTACTAAAAGCCAGTCACTTGTTAATTATTTGGAAACAAAGGATATATGCTATCTTATTTGTTGATAATGGATTTCCAATCTTCAAACTGTTTTTAAATACTGGCCAGTATGGTATATTTGCCTGCATTAACTTATGCCAGTAGAAAAAGTGTGGTGTGGAAAAATCAAAAGCATTATGACTTATTTGATTTTTGGAAATAGCTTTGTGATTTATTGATATTTTTAAGGATAGTAATAAAACTGACTTAGATTCCTTGGATATATATGAACTACTAGCAAATTCAGAGCATAAGTGATTGAAGGAAAAATTTAGCTTGGGGTTAAAAATTGCTGCTAAGGGATCCCTGGGTGGCGCAGTGGTTTGGCGCCTGCCTTTGGCCCAGGGCACGATCCTGGAGACCCGGGATCGAATCCCACATCGGGCTCCCAGTGCATGGAGCCTGCTTCTCCCTCTGCCTGTGTCTCTGCCTCTCTCTCTCTCTCTCTCTCTCTCTGTAACTATCATAAATAAAAAAATTTAAAAAAAACTTAAAAAAATTGCTGCTAAAAGTAAATAACATGAATAATGAATGTACAGTTGATTATACAACTGATGACACAGAGATTTGGGACACTAGACTCCAAGGACAATAGACATTTTTACAAAAGCTACATTATTCTTGCTATAGTGGATAAGCATCTCAGATGTAATGCTTCGAGTAAGTATTTTTTAAATAGTAGCTGTCAAAAAAACAAGATTAATATTTCAGTTAAAATAGTACCAAGTTACCAATATATAGTAGTGAGAATGGGGAAAACCTCAACTGTACAAATATGCTGGTTTTATTCTCTATGATTTTATGGATTATGTCGCTTTACTCATCACCACATGTGCTCCTATCCCTGTCTTCATGTTATGAAAGTGCAGTGTATTTCCCTTGAAAGTTCGTAAAATAGATATCAACAACTATTTTGAGTAAGAAGTGCCAGATAAACTGAGTACAGAACTGCTATAGATGTCACGAACATAGAGCCCACACTGGCTTAGAAGGAAGCAAAAAGCTTAGTTTAAACTTTGACTTAAAAAATTTAAGCTGAAAGCTACATGAAAACCCCCTCACAACGATCACCTACAATGGATGACCAGGCCACTTCTTGATTCTCCCAATCGCAAGGTCATTAGAATACAGCCCATCTGTGTACAGCCAGGGTGCTATAGATCTCCCTTAGAAATGTATAAAGGCTTTCATCTTCCTGAGTTTTCTGGCTCATTTTCATTGATCTGTCTTTTAGCTTCAGTAACCACTTATTTTACATATTGAGTTGATAAGTAACCATAAAGCTGCTACCGGGGGAAAACTGAGCTGTTAAATAAAATAATTACAAATATTTGTAAATGAAAGCTGTTAAATAAAATAATTGTAACTAATGGTAAGTCAAAGAATTGGCTAAAATGCATGGAGTTCCATTTTTGTTTATTTTTTTTAAGATTTAACTTATTTATTCATGAGAGACACACACAGAGAGAGAGGCAGAGACACAGGCAGAGGGATAAGCAGGTTCTTTTTTTTTTTTTTTTTAAGGAGAAGCAGGTTCTATGCAGGGATCCAATATGGGACTCGATCCCGGGAGTCCAGAATCACGTCCCAGGTCAAAGGCAGACGCTAAACCGCTGACCCACCCAGGCGTCCCTCATTTTTAATAGATTTTTCAAAGAAGTGACATAAGCTTGATTATGCAGCTTTCCTCAGGCTTTAATTAGCCTCCTCCTCTCTGGGCCTCTACCTCCTCCTTTACTACACAATAGTGACCATAATACCTCCTCAAAGCTGTTGTGCAAATGAATGGAGATAATCATAAAGTGGCAATATCTAGTCCATTGCTTGAACTTACTGGATTCACAAATATAAATATGTGTTAAATGGGTATTTTAAATGACTTCTTATACTGTGTGAACTTTCTAACCAAATTATTTTGAAAGCAGAGTCCCACGTCCATCACTTTTTAGACAATAAATATGGTTTCTTTTTTTCTCCTAAGTTCACATTCTTAATTACAACAGAGTCTCAGTTATATTTTGTTTACAAGTCAAATATATTCAAACATAATGATCAATTATTGTTCTTCCTCTCTGTTACCAAGGTTTTTTTCATAGGGATATGAAACCAGAGAACTTGCTTTGTATGGGGCCAGAACTTGTGAAAATTGCTGATTTTGGACTTGCAAGAGAATTAAGATCACAGCCACCATATACTGATTATGTATCTACCAGATGGTGAGTAGTTTTATACAACTCCCTAGAGATATAGGTAGGTCTATGCTGAAATTTTACAGTGTGGATCATTACGTAGCTTTCTAGAGGATCCATATTGAGTATTTAAAACAAAATCTAGGGGCATGTGGGTGGCTCAGTTGGTTAAGGTTCTGCCTTGGGCTCAGGTTGTGATCTCAGGATCCTGGGATTGAGCCCCACATCAGACTTCCTGCTCAGGGAGAAGCAGGGAGTCTGCTTCTCCTTCTCCCTGTTCATGCTCTCTCTTACTATTTCTTACTATCTTTGTCTTTCAAATAAAATCTTTTTCAAAAATTAAAAAAAAAAACAAAACTATAGAACTGAATTTTGCTTTCTGTAGAGAGAGGATTGGGTCATGACTATTCTGAAAGAAAAGAGATTTCATTCATTCACTCATTCATTCAACAAACATTTGTGGAACATACTATGTGCTAGGTACTATTTCAGGAATGGGGAACAGTGAGATGAACGAAACAGAAAAACACTCTGTCTCAGGCCACTGACCTGACATCCAGTATACAAATAAACCAGTTAAAAACATAGTTACCAACAGAAAGACATACAGATGTTTATCAAAAGACATGTAATAGTCTCATGGGACACCTGGGTGGCTCAGTGGTCAAGTGTCTGCCCTTGGCTCAGGGTGCGTGATCCCGGAGTGCTGTGATCAAGTCCTGCATCGGGCTCCCTGCGTGGAGCCTGCTTCTCCCTCTGCCTGTGTCTCTGCCTCTCTCTCTGTGTCTCTCATGAATAAATACACAAAATCTTTAAAAAAAAAAAAAAAAGACATGTAATAGTCCCAAACTGCAACTACCCAAATGTCCAATACATGCAGCATAATATATTCACCCAGTGGGATGCTTTACAACAATCAGAACAAAAGTCTACAACTACATACAAGAGGCCAAACAGGAAAAAAAAAGTACATAAGGTATGATTCCATTTATACAAAGTGCAAAAATAGAGAAAACTAATCTATGCTGGTAGAAGTCAGGGTAGCAGTTCCTTGAGTAGTGATTGCATGACTGCAGGAGGGGAGCCACCTGGAATGCTGATAACACCCAGTTTCTTGATCTTGGTGCTGGGTCAATGGGTATATTCTCTATGTGAAAATTAATCAAGGTGTTCCTTACTAATATGTGCATTTTTCTGTATGTGTATTACATTTCAATAAAAACAAGAATATTGTATATCAGGTGGTGATAGATTATTATTATGGAGAAGAATAAAATATGGAAAGGGCCAGGAAAAGGCCTGTTGTTATTTTAAATAGAGGGTCTCCCTGAGAAGGAGATGCCAAGGGAAGAAGTTTTCAGGCAGAGAAAATGCTGAGTGTAGAGGCCTTGAAACAGGAAAGCCACATGTGAATTCAGCAAAGAGCAGAATGAGTAAGGAGGGCTGTATTAGGAAATGGGGTGGAGAACTGATGGAGAGCAAGATCTTAGAGGTCTTCGTGGATCATAGTAGCACTGTGGTGGTTTGTTAATCTGAGTGAACTGGGGAGCCCCCTGGAGGATGCTGAGAAGAGGTGCCATGTGATCTGACGTGTCTTATAAGTATCACTCTCCCGGCTATATTAAAAATAGATTTTCAGAAGAGCAAGGAAAGAAGCAGGGAGACCAGGTAGGAGGCTGCTACAGTAATTCTGGCAGGAAATGACAGTGACTTGGATCTGCTGGCCATGGATGTGCTATTTTTAAAGTAGAGCAACCATGATTTCCTGATGAATCAGATGTAGGGTATAAAATAAGATTCTAGGGGGTTTTGTTTTGTTTTGTTCCTTGAGTAACTGGAAGGATGGTGTCAGCACTAACAGAGAAGGGGAATACTGTGTAGCTTTTGAGGGGAAGCACAGTTCCATTGAGTATTTTCAACTGGGTAAATTTAGATTCTATACTGAAATGGAATGAAATTGAGAAGACTTGTTTTCACCATCTAAACTTGGCAAGACATTCAAAACAATTTCATCTAGTAAAAATATCAAAACATAGTAATGACTATTGACAAATCCACGGAGAAACTGTATCCATCATACGTCATTGTTGTGAATGTAAAATGGTGCAAAATATCAGTTCCTCAGTGGTTAAACATATAGTTACCATGGGATCCAGCAATTCCACACCTTGATCTATATACCCCAGAAAAAGGAAAACACACATCCACACAAAAATTTACATATGAATGTTCAGAACAACATTACTTAGAACAGCCCCAAACTGGAAACAACCCAAATGCCCGTCCACTGATGAATGGAGAAATAGTATGTGCTAGAGCCATACAGCAAGACAGTATTCAGCAGTAAAAAGAATGAAGTATGATACATGCTACAATATGGATGGATGAATTTTGAAAACATGTTGAAGGAAAGAAGGCAGTCCACAAGGACTGGATGGTGTATTGTTCACTGGTATGAAGTACAAACAATAGGCAAATCTATAGAGACAGAATGTTGACCAGTGCTGGGGATACAGGGGTAATGGGGAGGTGTGAGGTTTCCTTTGGGGCAGTGAAAATGCTCAAAATTGATTGTGACAATGCATTACACACTCCATTACACACTCCACTTAAAGCCCTGGAGTCATACACTTTTAAATAGATAAGTTGAATTTTATTCAAATTACATCTCAATAAATCTGTCAAAGAAAGGTACTCAGAATAGAAGCAAAAAGACAAATATTTGGGCTGAAAAATCTATACATTTAAATGTGAAAAAAAAGTTAGAATTGAGAATATTTTCCACCAGGTACCTTTGCTCTAATAGTATATTTTTCTCCATTAAAGATACAGTCAGTTGGGGGAACATAGTCCACTGAAGGAATCAGCACTTTCAAACTGATGAATAATAATAATAAGAAAACCCCACTGCTTAGGGATCTTCTTTGTTAATCTTTTGTTTTCTATCCTTCATATAAATATATCATGAATATAATGCTTTGTAAAATTAATACAACTGTTCTCATTCAGAATATATCTTCCATTCAGAGCTCTCCCCCAACTCTGTCTTATAGTACTTATTTCCATATTTATTCATTTGAGTTCCTATCTTAGGCCACTTGGACATTTCATTTATATTTGTCTCCAGCTCCACCAACTGTCTGTGGTCAGGGAAAATGTGTTATGTCCAACTGAACCCCAACACGTTGTACAAATACCAGACACATAGAAGACACTTAATACTGGTTCCTTGATTGAAATACATGCCCAAACCCTACTGCCACTCCATCCTTCCAACTATAATCAAAATGGCCTGTTTTGTTTTCTATTTTCATAGGTATCGTGCCCCTGAAGTTTTATTAAGATCTTCAGTTTATAGCTCTCCCATTGATGTATGGGCTGTTGGGAGTATAATGGCTGAACTATATACATTAAGACCACTTTTCCCAGGGACAAGTGAGGTTGATGAAATCTTTAAGATTTGTCAAGTTTTAGGGACTCCCAAAAAAGTGAGTACTCTTGTCCTTAAGTTATAACTTTCGATTATTTATAACTTTTACCTAGTTATCTGATATTTTTATTTTCAAATAGGCTTATGCTTTAATGGTTATTTTTCTTATCCTTTTTTAAAAATTGGGTGGGATCAGAAGCCAAGAATCCCCATAAAACTGAAGAAAAAAAGGGTTCTTGCCTTTAATTAAGAACTTACAGATATATTCTCTATATTTAGAATTCTATATATTTAACTTTGGGTTGATGACCAGCTGATGATTATGTAGACATCCTGGCTTAGACTCTTTCCCACTTGCTCTGTGAATCTTCACTGGCATCAACTTTTGAATCCCAAGTGTCCTGGACCATTTCCTCTTGACCTTTCCTTGTTTCCTTTTATATACCTCTGTCATAGATACTTGATTTCTTGAACTGAGTACTTTTCAATTAACTACTGCATTCATCCAGACCTTACTTTCTGATACGTACTCAATAGTATATATAATTACATCCTAATTATGTTAGTATGTGCCTTGGACTTAAAACCAGACAAGTAAACATAGTTATTAAAGCTTTATGTAATTTGTTACTTCCTAACTATGTGGAGTTTTAAACACTGGATGCAATGTATAATATAATGAGGGTCTTTGTAATTATCAGCTGCTTTGTATACCACTTGTGCCTGTTTACTCAAAGTCACCTGAGTATTGTCTTCAAGATCCAAAAACCAGACAAGAATATTTTGGAATTTATAAAAGTGCTTTCTAACATTTTCCTAACTCTCAGTTCAATATTCTTTATATACTATTTGTAGCACTGAATTATATATGTGGTCTGGTATTTTATTCTCTGTTTATACGAATCAGCATTAAAATTTTCAACACCAGTGGTTTTTATATTATTACTATGTTTTAAAATTAATTACTAAAAACTATTTTCTTTTTGCTCTCCTGTCCCACCACTTATATATTCCTTAAACAGAGTGACTGGCCAGAAGGGTACCAGCTTGCATCCTCTATGAACTTCCGTTTTCCGCAGTGTGTTCCTATGAACTTAAAAACTCTTATTCCCAATGCCAGTAATGAAGCTATTCAACTTATGACTGAAATGTTGAATTGGGATCCAAAGAAGCGGCCAACAGCAAGCCAGGTAAGATAAATCCTCCTGATACAGTGTTTTCCTTTTTTTCTTTTGAAATTTTTGTAATACCAGGAATACTTTTGTTTACAAAGCAAATCTGTTCTCAACCAGGGTTTTACCAATCTGTAAGTAAGCCTGAAAGTGTGAGGCATCCAATGTGTAATGAATGAATCTCTAATCTATAACATCCCTGGGAGAACTGAGAATACAGCCACTCCAGTGATTTTCTGTGTCTTGTGGTTCAAATGGGGTAAGGCTGAAAGGAATTAATGTTTCTAATGATAAAATTGCAGGCATATGATGGCTAATAAGGAAGAAATTTGTCCCTGGTAGTAAAAAGGCATCTCTTCAGTTGTGCAACATAGGAGACTTTCTAAGCTCTCCTATGGTTTAGAGGGGAATTCTTGTTCACTCTACACAACAGTATCAAGTCTCCATAGGACTGAGGACAGTAGGTGGCACCCTCGCCTGGCTCCTTCGTGACCAGCCCTTAGAGCTCTCCAGAAACTCTAGTCTCATAGTTTCAAAGTGCTATGGTTGTCTTTGCAAAGGGCTTAGATTGAAAAAGTCACAATAAGCTTTCTTGTATTCTTATAGTTATCTAATACAAATTCAGCATTAAAATCACCAAAAAATTATTTGGTTTTTTAAAACTTTAACTTGAGAAGTGTTTTCTGAAGGTGAAGTGAAAGAACAAATGGGTGAAAGAATTGTCAAGACAGGTCTGAACAAGAATAGGGTCAGTAGAGGACAGTGGTTGGGGCAGACAGCTTGCCCTATCAAATATTACAATAATCTTAAAGTGACAGGATTGCAACAGTGATGGTACTAGCCTAAGAATCTACAGCTCCAATTTGCAGAAGCTGTAAGTCAGCAGCAGGTGAATGGGGGGGGGGGGCTGTTGGGGGGGGGACTGTCACTGGCACAATTAGCTAATTATCAGGAAAATGTAAATTTAGGTTATTTCTTACCATACTTTTCAAGTAAATCACAGAAGGTTTAAGTAATAAGAAGGCTGAACTAAACTATTAAGAACTAAAGAAAGTATAGGTAAGTATTTAATTGCAAGCCAAGAAATAGATGAGTGTAAAAGTAACAGAAGAGACTACAAAGGAAAAACTCATGATTTTTTTTTTCATCATGATAAGTGCCCTTCTCAGTCTCCATCACCTGTTTCCCCTATTTCCCCCCCACACACACCCTGCTCTGGTGACCATCAGTTCATTCACATAAAAATTAAAATCTTTCTCTTATAAAATCTTAAGGTTGGAAGACAAACAGCAATAATTTTTTTTAACAAACGTGACAGTGTATTTTCTAATGTTTCTAAGAATTTGCTAACTTTTGTAATAAAAATATAATACAAGTCTTTAACTCTTACCTAAAAAAGAAAAGTGGGCATGAGATATTAAGAAAAATCACAGAAAAAGAAATAAAAGTTACCAAAAATATTGTTTTTTAATATGCAGCCTTTGTTCATTATGGTAAAATGCAAAATTAAAAAAAAAAAACACATCACCATCACCAAAAGGAAACAGCTGAAAGGCTGTTTACCTAAGTAATGGAAAATAGTTTTGGAATGTAGTATACCAAGAGCATTGAAAACAATCAGAAAGTTGGATAAGGATTTATACTCATAGATGTTCAAAGCTTAAAAACTTCCCATTGGAGGCATGAACATTTAAAGAATATACATCCTTAATATAGACTACTTTGCCCCAATTAAAAATGGAATTTTTAAAACAACCATTCTCGAGAATTCTCAAGCTCAAGTGCTACATTTAAAAGTAGGCCAGAATATTACCCCTATGATTTTATTAAAAAATATATATGTATATATATTACATGTCTAGAAGTACTAAAAAGCAAAAGCATCAAAATGTGAGCAGTAGTTTTCTCCTGGTGTTGGCTCTGGGGTTATTGTAATTTCTTCTTGAGACCTTTCCATACATCCTTATTCTATGCAATGAAAAAATATTCCCTGAATAAACAGGAAAAAAATAAATTCTTTCTTAAAGACTCACCTCATCTTGGAGGACAGCAGCTGATATCTCAAAGAGGAAAAATTGTTACAGATAAAGCCTTGAAATTGCGAACCACATTTATAAAGGTTCTAGCTACAAAGTATAGTACATTTTAAATTTAGGAGTATTGACATACTAATTAATATGACTTAATTAAGAATCTGAGTGCTTTCTGTGAGTCAGGTACGGATGTATTTAAATTGCCTGTATTTGTGGAGCTCCACTTAGCAATGTCAGCATAATTAACACAGACATCGGTTGTGGTAGGGACGTCTCAGAATAAAAACTCTTCCTTCCTCTGCTGAAATAGACCTCCCTGCCCTGAACCTCTTTCATGTCCACTATTTCATAGCCCTGCTTTTTAGTGGAAGCAGGAGACCTAGTTAGGGAGAGGGAAAGTTATAGGATCCAGAGCTACTCTGTCCCTCCAAAAACTGCCCTTGGAGACCTGGGAAGTTAACTGTGGATCAAGACTGTGCTCACACAGAGGTGAGTACCACCTTAGGGCAGAACATGCAGGATAATAGGGCTTGCCTGCCTTCAGGTGCCCTCCCTTCATCCCCCTCCCCCAGCCCCATACACACAAACACGAACAGCAGAACTGGGAGCTTTCCTCCTTAATCCAGACATAGGATTATGGTAAGGGGATCATATCCACAGCTGAGCTGCACAGACATTGTCAGACATTCTCTAGACCAATTTTCATCAACCTTAGCACTCGTGACATTCAGATCAGGTCATTCTTTGTTGTGAGGGCCATCCTGTTATTGTAGGATGTTTAGCAGCATCCCTAGCAGCAACACCTCCCACCCCCACATTGTAACAATAAAAAAATGTCTCCAGAGGGGACAGATCGATCCCACTTGAGAACCACTACTGTAGACGATGTCACCAGACAGTCATCAGGGGCTGTCCCCCCTCCTCTACCCCAACTTCCATGCAAGTAGCAGCAACTGGTTGATCTAGTTAAAACTCAGTGATCATTTTTAAATTATTTTTATATTTTCTTCCCATAAATATCTTCTCTTTGCTGGTATATTGCTATAATAAGCTCTAACACATCTGCATTTGTAATCTCCTGTTTTAGAATTTATTTTTTTATTGCTAGTAGGTATGTAGCTATCCTTAGGCTAAGAGTAGCCCTGAATTTTCTATAATGTTACAGTTAATTGTTTAAAATGAACTAATACATAGGTTTTTTTTTTTAAAGATTTTTGTTTATTCATTTGAGAGAGAGAGCACTCAAGAGAGCACAAGTCGGGGTGGGGTGTGGGGGGCAGAGGGAGAGGGTGAAGCAGTCTCCCTACTGAACATGGAGCCCAATGTAGGGCTCAATCCCAGGACCCTGGACCATGACCTGAGCCAAAGGCAGACGCCTAACTCACTAAGCCACCCAGGTGCCCCTGTATAAAAGGTTTTCTTAACTCATTTCCTAATGCCTTTAGATGGATTCTAAACCATGATCGATATCTAGCATTTTAGTTTGAATTAATCACATCAAATTTAGCCAATGTTTATAAGCTAGATTTTGTTTTCATACAGAATTTTTAAATACAATAGTTGCTTTGCCTAGATGTTATACTTGAGTTTTACATTCTTCCTACTGTGTTGTACTTTGTTATTTAAATTAAATTTATTTCCTAAATCATTATTTCCTGGTTATCTTTTTGAAGGTACCGCATAAGGGGAAAACCTACATAAGGTTATGTTTTTCAAGTCTTTGAAGCTTATTTAGGCTAATGCTATATGCCAAGCCCGCTTCTAGTCAGTAATTTCTTTGTAATGAATTAAAATGAAACTGTTTCCATTTCTTATTTCCATGCTTTTGTAGGCACTGAAACACCAATATTTTCAAGTTGGTCAAGTATTAGGCCCTTCCTCACATCATCCAGAATTGAAACAATCTTTAAATAAGCAGGTGCAGCCACTAGAATCAAAGCCATCTTTAGTTGATCTAGAATCTAAGCCTCTGCCGGACATAAATGATCAGACTGTCAGACAGCCCCAACCCAAAAACAGCCACCAGCCACTGCAGTCCATCCAGCCACCACAGAACATGAGCGTCCAGCCAGCGCCAAAGCAGCCGAGTCAACAGAAACGGCCACAAACACTATTTCCAAGTATCGTCAAAACCATGCCAACCGTAAGTAGCCCATAATGACACCGTAGATGCAACAGTTTGGTTCAGTTAGGATTTTATTTTCTAGGCATTCCTAAAAATGTTGGAGAAGATGTAAAAGATTATTTATGTTAAGGGCCCTGCTTCCTCTGGCAGGAGCTTAGCATGAGATAACCTAAAATTCTAATATGACTTATAAAAGAACAGCCAAAATGAATGTGATAAAGTTTGTATGCTATAGACTTGAATATTACTTAGACACAAAAGAACTCAGAGAATTTAATAGAACCTGGGACTCCAAAGAGCTGATCCTAAATCCTACAGATTTTAACAGTAATGTTATACTATTTTTAAATACTAAAGAACATGAACAGAATTGGTATTAGGCAGAGTATAAGACTTGCTCTTCGTACTTCTTTTGTTCAGTTCAGGGGGTTCTTCAGGAGCTGTATCAGCCGTCTCCTCAAGATGTTTACACCCAAATGCATCTACGTCATGAGCATTTTAGGACTGAGAGATCTCAAAGAATACTAATTCCTTATCCATTCCTGCCATCCCGATAAGAGCAAGCCCTGCTCCCAATAGCACTAATCATATTCTAACATACTATTAATTACCTGGTTCTTATATGTATTGTTTATTATCTGGTTCTTCCTGTAGGATGTAGGCTCTATAAGGTCAGGGGTATTGTTTTCTTTATCAGTCCAGGCCCTGAAGTGAGAATGTTATCTGGCATGTGGTTGAATTCTCACTTTATCTGTTGAACAAATGAATGAATAATTGTCCACATTACATCTAGGAGTCTGTATCATCTAGGGGCATTTCTTTATATATATATAGAGAGAGATTTTATTTATTTATTTGAGAGAGCACAAGCAGGACAAGTGACAAAGGGAAAGGAGGCCCCCCACTGGGCAGGGAGCCCAACGTGGGGCTTGATCGCATGACCCTGAGATCATGACCTAAGCCGACACTGAAAGTTGGATGCTTAACCAGTTGCACCACCCAGGACCCCCTCTTTGGGACATTTCTGACTATACTGAAATTCTTCCTTATACTGAGCTAAATACTGATTTTCTGTAGCTTTTAATAAAAGTTGGTCACTCTTTGAGAAAGGCAGCCATTCAGATATTTGAAAATAGCCCTTATATTACCTGTCCTTTTCTCTAGGAAGAACATCCCCAGTTCCCTTGAGTGCTCCACACGTGACATTATCTCATGTGACTGAGTAATCCTTGGTTCCTGTGTAGGAAAGAGCCTTGAGTCCCCTCACCATCCTGCTTCCCATTTAGAATGAGGCTGCCAGAGCTAGAGGCAAACCACGAGCAGGGAGTATAAACGGTGGTTTATATGGTTTATAAAACTATATGTGCACTCATGCCGCCAAAGACTACATTTTTGTTTTGGGGTTTGTTTGTTTTGTTTTGTTTTCTTGGAAGGCACATCAAATGTTAACTTATACTGAGAGGAAAAGAAAAGAAATTATTATTTATTGAGTATCTGCTAAGCGCCATGTATGATGTGAAGGCCTTGTATGCATTCACTAAGTTAAAGTACCCAGTATCCTAGCCCTAAACTTTTAGATAGGTAATAGGTTCCAGAGATGGGACTGAACATTCTGTCAACTAAAATTCCTAAGTCTGTTTTCTCACATAACAAGTGCTTCTGGTAAGTCACATAGTCTTTACTTCTTTCGTGTTGTGCATTTGATCTGTAGGATTCCAAAAACTGCAAGACTTTACTTTTACCTTTCAGATTTCTAAAGTATTTCTGTCTTGTCAGTTTAACGATCCTGCCTAGCACGTCAGCAGCTGTGCATTGGTGTAGTTGTTCATTTGCCTTTTTCTCCTGTACCTTCATGATGAACAGAATGGCAATGAGCCCTTGGGCAGGCCACTAGGACTCCTAGATGGACACTGATCCGCAGTACTCTTGGACAGACAACTGAACAATGTACTTCAGTGCTTGGGCTGCTATACCAAAGTACTATAGACTCAGTGGCTTTAAGCCAGCAATTTATTCTCTAGATGCTGGGAAGTCCAAGATCAGAATGTGAGCCAATTTGATGCCTTCTCACTTTGTCCTCACATGGCAGAGAGAGGGAACAAGCTCTCTAGACTTGGGGTATAAATTGCAGGGTGGGAGACATAACAAATTTTAACATATAAATTTTGGGGGGGAAATAGAGTCCCTAACAGCGCTGATCCACCTTTGTTGTCCTTTTGTCACTTCACTGAAAGCATCAAACACCCCGTCATCTACTTTATTAACGGCCACATGAACTAAATGTATTCATTGTTTGCTTTTTATAAAAAAAAAAAAATGGTGGCCTGTACAACGTACACAGATTTTTCCCTAAGTGCTCAAAAACTTTACCTGTAAAACTGATTTTAGAATCTTTGCCCTCATCCTGTCCCAAACATATTAAGGTGGATTTTTGCAAAAAATCTTGATAAAAAGTATATTTGCCCCTTTCCAGTCTTCTGAGACATATAAGACTATTTGATATTACTGACATTGATCAGCAGCATTCAGCATCAGCACCCTAAAAAAAATAATTCAACCAAAATAAGAGGCTGAAACCTTTGATTAACTCTGCTTATCTGGGACCTTAGATCATTTTATTCTCCTCAGTCTAGAGTTCATTCTCCCGCAAACACCATTTCTCTGTCATCAGCCATCACTAAGGTGCCATGGGCACCAAGCAATAGCATATCCATTCTTTAAATATCTTCTTGCCCCAAACATAGCTGTATTTGCTGACCTTGCTTCCAAAATCCCTAGTTTTTCAGTTGCCTTTTGGATTTTTCAGTTTACATGCCCCCAAACTGTCCCAGATAAATTTGAATAAAACCACTGTCTGTGGGATGCCTGGGTGGTTCAGTGGTTGAGCCTCTGCCTTCGGCTCAGGGCATGATCCCGGGATCTGGGATTGAGTCCCGCTCTGGGCTTCCTGCATGGAGCCTGCTTCTCCCTCTGCCTGCGTGTCTGCCTCTCCCTCTCTGTGTGTCTCTCATGAATAAATAAATAAAAATCTTTTTTAAAAATTTTCAACTAATGCTTAAGTTCTGTAAGAATCCTGGAAATGGAGAACGTGGAAACTATGATTAAAAAATAAATAAAACCCAAAACAAAAAAAACACTGTCTGTAAAAAAACAAAACTAAACACTGGTCCAAGCCAGGTCGTCTTCCTCATTCCTTATTTTTGTTAACAGAGCCACCATCCTGAAACAAACAGGCTGAAACTTTTCCTTTTCTGCATCCATCAGGATTCCATTCAGTGACTTATGACAGAAATCTGGCCACTGAGTCTCAAACAATAATGGCTTATTTTCTCACATAACAAGAAGTCAAGTGGTGGGCCAAACCAGAACTGGTGCAGACTGTAGAAGGAACCAGATTGCCTCTGGCTTCCTGTTCTACCACACTTAGCAGGCAGCTCTCATTCCTGTGGCCACAAGATGGCTGCTGCTCCTTTGGTGTTGCTTCGGCATTCCAGAAGAGGGAAGAGCGAAAGCCCCTGGCATGCTGTGGGAGTCTAGAAATAGCCCTCCTGGAAGTCCCTCTGGTAGACTTATACTGACAATTCATTGGCTAGATCGTGTCACATGGCTGCACATCGCTGTGAAGGAGGCTGGGATTTCAGGTATTTTAAGTAAGCATATTGCTGCACTGAACAAAATCTATTAGGAAGACAGGAAGAATGGGTACTGAGTGGGTGCCCAGCAATGTGTACCACACTCTCCTCTGACCTCTGTTCAAGTAGATGCAAAGTCCAGGCCTTTTATTCCTTGTTAAGAGCAAATGTGTTCTTTCCTGAGCATTCCAGCCACTAGGAATCTGTTGCACTTGCCACTGCATGCCAGTATAACTGCAAAGGCCTCCTATGTGAAGAGTCCGGCCTTCCAGAAGGCTGCCTTTAATTCACCACTTCTTAGCTCAAAGATATCCAGTGTGCTTCACTACCCACAGGAGAGCTGCAGCTCGTTAGGCAGACACTGAAGGCCTTTAGACTCTGGCACTTTTCTTTCTTTCTTTCTTTCTTTTTTCAAGTGGGCTCATGCACAGCGTGGAGCGCAACGTGGAGCCCAACATGGGGCTCAAACTCAAAACCCTGAGATCAAGACCTGAGTTGAGATCATGAGTCGGACATTAACTGACTGAGCCACCTAGGTGCCCCTGGCACTCTTCTATTAAAAAGTCATACTGTATATATTTCCTCTTTCAAACTCTGAAACAACAACAATAGTAATAAACAACCATACCCCCTAACCTTAGTAACTCTTGTTATGTGTTAGGCCCTATCCTAAGGACTTCCAGTGTATTTTACTATTAAATTCAGAAACACCAATTAGAGAAATACTGCACATCTCCATTTGAGGAGGAAGAAACCAAGGCTTTGAGAAGTTAAGTCACTTGCCAAAGAGAGACAGTCACACATGAAAGTTTTCCAAATTATGTATTAGTGAGGAGTCAATTCTGATCCTAAGTATTCAAGTCTCACCCCAACCCAAAACCAGAGATCTCTCCTCCCTCTGAACTCCTATTTTTAGCATGTGCTACCTGTTTTTGTTAAGACTTTTCAATATGTATTTTCTTACCTTTAGGGAAGGCTCCTTGAGAATGGGTACTCTTAGTATCAAATAGAATAGCTTGGGCATAAAAGGCATTCAGCAAATGATTACAGATGATGATGACTGATTTTCCACCACAGAAGCCAAATGGCGCACTGGGTCATAAAAGTGCTAGGAGACGTTGGGGTCAGACTGTGTTCAAGTCTGGAGATAGCTGGGAAGAGTTTGAGGACTGTGATCTTGGAGCCTCCCATTCCAAGAAGCCAAGCATGGGTGTATTTAAAGAAAAGAGGAAAAAAGATTCTCCATTTCGGTAAGATTTCACATTCTAGGAAAATATATTTTTATCATGCATCAGCTTTATATTATTCATTAGATATAAGTGAATGTTAAAAGACAGTAAGTAGCCTAATATTGTTTTCTTCTACATGCCCCAAATTTCTACGCGTACTTCTGGGAAAGTAAGAATCTTGACTTCTCACAGTAATGAATCTCAGTATTAATGGCTAAGTGTTGTGGGCGTGTGGGGAGAAGGGTTCTTGTTAAGTTTTTAGTATTCTACTGAATTATGATCACCATTATTCCCATTTGAAATCCACATGCCTATTTGAAGAAAAGCAAAGCACAATCTACAGAGGTGATAGTTTCCTCTGATGGTGTTCAGATTCACTAATTTGTTTGCGTGTATTCTACACGTTTTTGATCATTTCCTAAACTTTTTCTGGAAGTTTTAATATCTCCAGCAGTCTCTTTTCTAAGATAAGTCATCATTAGTGCAGTTAACTTTGAAGTAAGGGTGGATTAAATTTTATGAACAAAAGTTTGAGAAAATATTATCTTTTTTTCCTCTTTGGAACAGAAGAAGAGGGAGAAAAATATTAGCAGGAGGCAGGGAATTTTATCTAATAGCTATCTGGCATTTACTTTGGGGCACACATGTCTCTGAAGGTACATGGAAGATTCTGTTAGGACCTATGCTTGGATAATTCTTAGTCAATAGGTTTCCAGATCCTCAAGTTCCAGAGTTCCTCCTTAAGTACATGAACTTGAGAATAAACATGCTTAGTCTTCCTCCCACTTTATGCCAGTCACACCTCTCAGCATTTTCAAATCTGGAGTGGCATAAAGGCTCAACAACCTTTGAGATGCTAAACAAGAAAAGTCAGAAGATTGCCACCCCTGGCTAAGAATGCTTTGTTGTCCTATACATATTTCTCTTAGGAGAAAGGAAACCTCCCATTACAAAGAGAGTATCTTAGCCTGTGTTGGAAAGCATGGGGATTCAGAATCCCCAAAGCACCAGAGCCTAATGATGCTTATTCTTTTAAATGTACTAGAAAGTTCTGTGAAACTGATTTTTTTCAAAACCCATGAATATACATTGTACATAATTTTTTGAAGATTCACTGTTTTATGGAATAAAGCAGTTAAAACTTAATTTATCAAGTCATACCATGAAATACTCCCAATTATAGTTAATCTTCATATTTCATCTTGTAAATTATTTACTGTTTTCTATTGACTATTAAGAAACAAGAAACAAAACAATGTAACCCATGATAAAAAAAAAATTTAGATGTCAACTTAAAGATATGTAAGAGCTACATACTTGCTTTTTTTTAAAAAAAGATAATTCTTTGCATCTGCATTGGTGTACTATGTATGTAGATGACTTGAAAACTATTTTTTTAAACCCATGTCATTCTAATTCCAGCTGAATTTAATCATATGTTTTAGGTTGGAGATTTTGAATCAAAATCTATAGTTAAAATTAAGTTTGTAGTCCATATACTTAATTCTGGCAAGGGAACAATTGATAAATTTCTTCAATATCAATTATTCCTTTTCTCTTGAAATTCTTTAGGAAAACTATATGATAATGAATTCTTAATGTATATTTCTTCTCCCCCTTTTTTAGTATCTTCAAATGACTTTATACAAGTTAGACATATAATAATAATAATTATTAATATACTCCTATTAAAGTGCCTACCTAAGTTTTAATTTGTAATCTTCACAACTAGTAAAAATAGCTGTAGAACAGAATACTGAGAGGTTGGCTAAATAGGTTGCCTAAAGTCAGATGAAGCCTAATTCAAAACTATCTAGATCTCTTCCTCTCTTCTGTTCCACACTATTTCTTGAGCAATAGGAGCCCACGTACTTGGTGAACTGAATGCACGTTGCTATTCTCTGCTCAGTTTCTCAGGCAGCCTAGGCTGCTTCGTAAAGAATACAACAGACCAAATACTAAAGGGTAAAGCTTTCACTTATTAGGTTGTCTTGTTTTTTAGCAAACAAAAGCAAGATGTTTACACTTGTATGTGTGCTCAGTAGACCATTTGCTAAATACCTAGATGGTGTTAAGCAAAGGTCTGAACAAGATGTAGTCTGTCTTCATCTCATCAAATGTATAGCAGTAGAAATACAACCTTCAAGTCAGTGTAACGCAAGAACGGAGTGTGTATTAAGTTCTGCTACTGAAGGAGCTGTAAGGAGCTCAAGAGTTCTGTTTATGGGCAGATCACTTTGAGGAGGAGAGCAGTCTTTTTGGAATGAGCAGTTTGGAAAATGGGTAGGATTTCAGCAGTTGGTAGGACTGCAGTGGGCTGAGGGAAAGGGAAAGAAGCCAGAATGGGTGGGGCTGTTATAACGATAGAGTTCCACCTGCATCTAGGGCTCTCCCAGAGTGGGTTGGGGTAGCCAGAAGTTCAAAGGGCAGACCAAGTCAGTGTTGGTCTCTGATGGGATCCGGGCAACCTTACTGATCAGACATTACTTTTGTAGACAGGTGGAGGTGGCTAGGATTGTCCTCCCTTTGACCATGTCATCTTCCCCCTTGTTGTAAATCCACAATTTTAGCAGTGGTGGGAAAGGTACAGACCTTAGTACACATGCAATTTGCTGCTCAGTTATAAAGCTTTCTGTCACATAATGTCTAGTATTAAAAATGATTCTATGGACAGCCCAATATCTGTTGGGGGAGAAGTTGCCATTTAGTGTCCCCTATCAGCAAAAGGACTCTGATGGAAACCAGTTAAGTGAGGTGACCTTGCCCTTGAAAAGACCGGTAGGGGGTGTGGGAATACAGTAGCTGTCATCTTCACATTTCTCACCTTGTAATGCTGCCTTATGTTGACTTTCAAGGCTTCCAGAGTCGGTACCCTCAGGCTCTTATCACTCAGCAGGGGAAAACAAGAGCTTCCCTGCTGCTATTTCCCTAAAATCTGATTCTGAACTGTCAACTGCCTCCACAGCTAAACAGTACTACTTGAAGCAATCAAGATACCTTCCAGGTAAGCAGAGAAAATAAAATGTTTACTGCCAAACTAGAATAGAGGTCAGGCTCCAGTGTCTTGGAATCTTTGCAGGAAGGGCACTAGTAAGATAAAAAGTATAATCACAGTGCTCTTTGCTGGCTCAGCCTTGTCAGTACTTGTTCCCAAGTACTTTTCTAGGTCTCCTGCCTCTGAAGTCTACTCAAGAAATGACTAGTCAAAAATCAAAGTGAAAACAGGCTTCAAAAACCACCACTCTCTCCCACCAAAGGTATGCCTCTAGGAAGTGCTAAATTTTACTACAATAATTCTGCACCCCCATTACCCCATTTCATAAAATGTGAGATTTGACACTGTTTCCTCAATGATCTAGATTATGTTTTTGAAAGATCATTGTGGGTAGAACATACTAGGCACTCAAGAGAGGCAAGGACGCTGGTCAAGAGATCATTGCAGATGTCCAGATAGAGAGGCTAATGGCTTGCTCCAGAGTGGTAAACGTGGAGACAGAAATGGGTAAAATCTCAGTGTATTTCAATAATAGAAAGATAGGACTTCCTGATAGATCAGCATGGTGGTAAAGAATGGAAGGAATTGGTTGGCTTCTGGGTTTTTGACCTGGTGACTGGGGGCTGATGGTGACTTTAACTGAGAAAGGGAAGATTAGGAGAGGACAGGAGGTATAGAGGTAGAGAATCGGGAGTTGAGTTTGGGATGCCTAGCAAATGTCTGCATTGACCTAAGACAATTGAATATATGAACTTGGAACAGAGGAGAAAGATCTAGACATTAGGGATTTTATGATGTTTCTGCAAGTAGCATTTTCTCCTCAAAATCCACTTTAAAAGGAAAAGTTTAAATTCAGTGAAGTCTAAAAGTCAATCAATTTTTAAGTGACTGTGTATCTATACAAATATATCTTTAGTCCAAAGAGGGAGAGGTGAAGTTTCTCTTTTGTGGGCGTGGCCTTTTACAGCTTTCTGAATGTAGTAAACAGGCCACTGGGGTCATGTGAGGAAGTCTCCAGAAGCAAGCCATGGTTTTCACTTCCTAGGAGCTTGCTTGGGAAGGAGGGGTTAGGAAGACAAGAGACAAAGCTGAAACTGGATTGTTAGCAAGAAATTGCTGCATTAACATTTTTCTGTATACGTTTAAATCAACTATATAAATTTCAGCTATAGGAATAACCCAGTAAGAATCACTCCCATTATCAATAATTGAAAGGAAAAAATGAAGTTACAGAAGGGTTCTAGGAGTGAATGGTATAGAAAACAGAAGGCAGGGATCCCTGGGTGGCGCAGCGGTTTGGCGCTTGCCTTTGGCCCAGGGCGCGATCCTGGAGACCCGGGATCGAATCCCACATCGGGCTCCCGGTGCATGGAGTCTGCTTCTCCCTCTGCCTATGTCTCTGGCTCTCTCTCTCTCTCTCTGTGTGTGACTATAATAAATAAATAAAAATTAAAAAAAAAAAAGAAAACAGAAGGCACAGGAGGTGTACAGGTTTAGCCACACATGTTGAATAAGTTGAAATAAACTTTGGGCAAGCAAAGCCAGAGTTTTGGACTACAGTTCTCTGTTGAGTAGTAAGAAGGAACATACTGTCCTATCCAAGGGAAATTGAAGAGATTGGCATCAGATTATCCAGGAAGGAACTAAAAATAAATACATAACCCGGGTATTTGGAGATCTGTGGATTCAGTGTTTTGTTTTGGGTCTTTATAGAAGAGGTGACCCAGCTGGTCCTTAATCAATGAGCAGCAGCATGTCTCCATGTAAAAGGAGGGGGAGGACATTGTGGAACCCATGGATAGAATACACATTCATTTTCCGATTCAATCGTTTTATTCATTCACTCAGTAATATATATTAAGCACTTAATATGTGCCAAGTACTTAATGATCTAGGCATTGAGATATGTAATAGCACTGAACAAGACACACAAGGTCCCTGCTCTCCAGCAGCTTATGTTCTAGTGGAGAGAGAAAAAGCAAATTCACAAGTGGTGATGACTGTTGTGGAAGGAGAGAGATGACCTGGAATGTGACTATGGGGGGTACTTCTCAATCCCCTAACCTTTGACCTGATACCAGGAAGGGGAAGGAGAAGGCAATCAAGAGGAGAGCTGAGAAAAATGTTTTAGGCAGAAGGAATTACACTGGCTTGAGAAGTAGATCAACAGGCTGCATATTTGGAGCTGCAGAGGCGGGGAGTAGTGAGAGGGGAAGGAGGGAGAAAGCCAGCAGCACCTTGAGGGCAGAGAAAGGAATTTGGGGTTTGTTCCAGGTCCAAATGGAGGCCTTTGAAGGCACCTCAGGAGTGAGTGACACACGACACGTGTTTTATTAAAAAGACTGTGTAAAGGATGCATAGCAGCAGGACAAGGCTAGAAGCAGGGAGGCCAGCTGGAAGCTACTGCAAGTCCTCCAGGGAAATGATGATGATCTAAAGGGAGCTGGGCTCTTAACAGATTTCAGAAATGGATGTGCTGATGGATAGTGGTAGAAAATAAGGGAAAAGAGAGTTTGGAGCTTGAATCCAAGGTGGATGGTGGTGCCGCGCTCTGGGATGGGGAAGACTGAGGAGGAACAGGATTGGTGGGAAAGAGGTGGTCAGTCCTGTGTGTGGGCTCTTGTATTTGAGATGCTTGTGAAACATGTGAGCATGGAGAGGCCACATGGGCGGTGGGAGGGAAGAGCCAGGAAGCTGGAGGGGACCTGGGCCAAGGAGAACAGATGCCGGAGTCCTCAGCAACACCTAGACAATATTTAAGTCCATGGATGGAAGAGGATCATCTACAGAGGGATTGTGAGTGGGAACCACGGCAGTGGTAGAGGAGGAGGAGGAGCTAAGAAAGAGGAAAGGGAGGAGCCAGGCTGATGAGGGGGAAACCAGGCACAGGTGGTTCCCAGAGGCCGGGAGGGGAGAGCTGACCTGAATGAGTTCGCTGCTGTGGTTTTAAGAAGGGAGAGAAATGCCTGATAAAATTTGACAGTGAGAGAGGTCCCTGATGACCCTGGGGAGCGGTTTTAGTCTGTAATGGTGAGGGAGAACGAGGCTGGAGTGGGGGGGAAAGTGGTGAGAAGTGAGAAATTAGTGACTCAAAAGGCAGACTCCTGTTTGGAGATGTTCTGCTGTGAAGAGGAGCTCAGAAATGGAGCTGTCCTGGAGCGGGCTCAGGGAGCGCTTCCCTGGTGGATTCCGGGTCTTTGGAGCTCGTCTACACGGGGACAGGAATGACTGCTTACAGAGGGATGGATTAGGGAGGGAGAGGAGGGGAATGCATGAGGGGCTGAAGTCCTTAGGAAAGTGAGGAGAGTTGGAATTAAGACCATAAAAGACGGGGGACACTTTTGAAAGCAACAAAGATACTTGCCTTGTAATCTCTCTCTAGATACCTGTGGGCTTGTGAATGGTGGTGTTGATACCATGAGGGAGTTCTGATCTGACTGCAGAAGCAGGGATGTAGCAAAGTTCCCAGAACAGGGATTCATGGGGGATACTTTTCCCTGTTTTTTAAAAAAAAGTAGCAAATAGGTTTTTTCTTATCTGTACAGGGGAGCCCTCTGGTGGTCGGAGAGGCAACTGTAAATTTTTGTTAGGATAAACAGATCCAAGGCACCGTTTTCCTATTTCTGCTCCTGAATTTGGTTTTCTGGGACATATTTTAGGGTATCCGAGACTGGTCTGGTCATTTCCTTTTTAATGAGAGAGATCTAACAGATTCTGCAAATTACTGTGGGTCATGAGCATGGCTGTGATTGAAACTTAATAAAGACTTGAAATTAGAATTGCGTGAAATCTAAACTTGAGCCCTCCTGCTCCCTTGTTGGCAGTTTTTGTCTTGAGGATGCCCCTCTGGAGCTGGTGAAATTTGGAACTAGAATTGAGCTTATTTCAGTCACCTGGACAAACATTTATTGAGCACTTGTCATGAGCTAGTGACTACAGAGGATAGAAGCCGTAAGAAGTGATCCTTGACATTTGTGATCCAAAGTTATTTTTATAACTGAGTATCTTCAGGAATAAAAAAAAAATAGCATTTTGGGGGGCCCTCTTTTTTTTTTTTTTTTTACATGAAGCCAATCATAAAAGGTCTTTTTAAGCATCAACCTTTAGGATCATGGGAGCTCTAGAAATGTACCATATACTTTCAGGGCAGCATGACATTATACTACAAGAATTGGCAGATCAGGGATCCCTGGGTGGCGCAGCGGTTTGGCGCCTGCCTTTGGCCCAGGGCGCGATCCTGGAGACCCAGGATCGAATCCCACGTCGGGCTCCCAGTGCATGGAGCCTGCTTCTCCCTCTGCCTGTGTCTCTGCCTCTCTCTCTCTCTCTCTGTGACTATCATAAATTAAAAAAAAAAAAAAAAAAGAATTGGCAGATCTGTGACACTGGCCAGGAGAGACATTCAAGAGTCATAGTTATTGACCTGCTACTGGCTGGCTATGTACTGGAGCAAGACTTTGAGATTATGTTTTCTGTTTCTTACAATGGGACTGCAGTCATCTCTCGGCTCCTGTAAGCCTTAGGTACTTAATTATAGCAAGGTAGTTGCAAGTAGAGTGTGCGATGCAAATGCAAACCACCTCTCAGGTGCCCTCTGGTCTCACTCCCTGCCTCCAGAACCAGGACTTCAGCACGCATCGATGCTGCCACGCTGGCTGGCTCTCCCTCTATAGCACTTTTGAAACCCTGCTCCTCCTTCTCTCCTTCCTTCCCCACTGTGTCTTCAATGTCCTGGGTCATTTCTATACTTGCCTTTCCTACTGCGTTTATAATTTAACAGGACACACATAGTCCTACGTGGTTTGACCCCGACCCCCCTCTCCAGCCTCATTTTGTGCCAGTCCCTGTTCTTTCTCCACCCCCGGCCTACAATGTGGCCTCTCCCAGGAACACACGTCTCACCCCCTGCAGACCCTTAATCGGATTCACATTTCAGCCTAAAATTACTATTTTTTAAAGAAAGACTGGTGGAACTTTGAAAGAAAGTTGCTTGTTATTTGCCTGTTCCCTCAGCACCAGATTCTTTTGAACAATTTATACATGGCTGATTACCTCTATTATTAATGTCTCTCTTCCTATTGGAGTAGATTGTAAGAGCCAAAAGGGTAGAAACTAGCCTGTTTTATTCACAACTCTGTCCAATGCCACACACACTGCCTGGCACATGATAGGTGCTCAGTAAATATTTGCTAACTGATTTAATCTCTCATATATAAACAGGGAATGGCTGATGGTATATTCATTTCTACCTCTATCACGGTGTTTGCTATTTAGAAGGTGCCCAGTAAAAGCTTGTAAACTAATATGTAAATGACCTACCAGGCTAGAATGTGTCTCTTTCCAAGAAATCTGGAATCTTTAGAAAGAATTAAAGTGATGATCTTTGCTAATGGATATATTTACTTAAAAAAAAATATTCAAGGATATCACAAGGCTAACTGGATTAACAAAATAATTCAGGTACTCCAAGCCCATTCTTTGTTGAACTACACTTATGAAAACAGTTCATTTAAGATGATTTTTAGTTTGTCCCCTTACCTTGTCCTTTTTTTGGAGGTAAAGGACATTTTTTTTTGGTGCAGATTTTTTCATGAGTTATTGCTATCTTCTTTAGTAAGTACATCTTTATTGTCAGGTAATTGCCTACTATAGTTCAATTTTTAGGTTTCTAATGAAACCTAAATCCATAAGGAGCTATATGCTGTAAGGAAGGCAAATTATTTACCTGGAGGAGCATTTCATTAGAGAACTGGTGACCAGTAACCTTGAGGCTCAGTATAAAACAACCTGGCTTTTTTTCTGGCTTCAGTACAAGGGATATTATCATATGTCTCATAAATGTGAAACCTTGCCGAGGAGTTCACTCTGAAAAGCAAGAGCTCATCTCACCCAGAAAGAGTTGCTAACCTCCTGCATTAACGGTAGTCCTCAGCAAGGATTTTCCTAGTATTAGCTAAAGAAACACTACATGTATGACCCAGAGGCTTAGAGACTGTGTAATGGCTTTACCATCTCATAAGCTGCATTTAATTTATTGTCAGTAAAAAGAAAGCAAGGTCAGGAAGTTTTCAAATCTCTTTAAAGATAAATTAAAACACTACCCTTTGACCACTAGTACCAAAGTCCAAAGCTGACTCCACGTTTCACAGATTTTTAGAAAATCATAAATAATTTAGATTTTACTATACTTTATATACAGATACTCTTCACAGATAGATCGTTACTCATCTAATTCCAGACTGTCAGTTCCCCTGAATTCTAGGTCATGTGTCTGTTGTCCTGTTGTCCTGGCTACACTGTTTCTCAAGGGTCTGGTACAGAGTACATACTTAAAACAAGTAAATGACAGTATCTTTTTGAAGAAAATTTGGGTATCGCCTCAATTGTTACATGACATTTAGTAAGAAATGTCCAGTGTTTAATTATTATTACCTGTATTATAGAAAATATCTTATATTTATAAAGTACACTGTGAGGATTCCAGGTTGTTGAAAATATTCCAGGTTAAAACAAGTATCTGCTACATTGCAACATAAATTTATTTCCATTCTCCCTTTCCACATTATTTCTGGTCTTCGTTTGAATGTATCATATATTTTTCCTTCAAGTTAATGATCACCTGCTAACCTTTGAAATGACTGTTCTGTTCTCCTAAGGTGTAAATCCCAAGACTGTGTCCTTGGTAGCCGGTGGAAAGGATACAAACTCATATACTTGGAGTAATCAGTTATTTCCTAAGTCACTGGGACCGGTGGGGGCAGAACTTGCTTTCAAAAGGAATAATGCAGGTACAGCAAAATTTCATTTGAAGTATAAATTTACATTGTTTTCCTTCTGTAGATTTTTACTTTTAATTATATTGCAGCTGCCTTCTTCCAACTGAGAAACCTTTGAGGGATCCATTAATGTTTTCTAACTGGTACTTGGTCACAGATGGTTTTAAGGGAATCATTTGCCAGACCTCATCTTCCACATGGATTCTTCCTAAAATGGAATTCCGTGAGCAACAGGTCTCTGTCCTCCTACTTTACCAAAGAAGGGACTTATTGTGTTTACTAGGGTGTGTTTCCTGTTTCCCCAAAGTTATAAAAATACCTGTGGGAGCCAATCAAAGAGACAGTTCTCTTTGTTGGCAGCAATGTGGAGAAAGTGAGTAACTCTGATAACTGGGAAGAAATCCTATTTAGGTCACATGGTTTCCAGTTCTTCACCTTTAAAAACTTGAAGGAGAACCTTGAAGGAGAACCTAACTGAATTGTTAGCTGACAGATAATGAAAGCTTATTTTCAAAATCACTGTGTGACTCTGGGTCTGTACTCCGCAAAGAGTTCAAAGACTTTTGTGACTAAGTTGTAAGAGAACATTTTTCATTCCCAACTATCTGTTTACATTGAACAACGTTTCTTGGTGCTTACATCTACAAAAAAGGAAAAAGGAAAAAGAGAAAAAGGAATAGAATTAGTGCTGAAACCTGATTTTAGGAATAAGCAATACTCATTTGTGGATACATGGACAACTTAAAAAAAGGTGCCATCTTTCTCAGATGAATTTCTCCCCCCAAAATGCCTTTTGATGTTCAGTAATCAAAATTTATAGTATTCATCTTTTTTTGATTAACTATATACAATGAATTGTTGTAATTATAACTAACCTAATCCAGAAAAAAAGTATTTTAACATACTTGTTACAAGAAAATTTTTAAAGGTTTCAATTCATACATACTTTTGAGTGGTCAATTTAAAGACTTTTAAGCCTAAAATTATATTTGGATAAAATTTGGGAGTTGAGTTGACATGAATCAAAATAAAATTTTGGAGAGAAACAAGATGTAATAGTTTTATTTGTAAATGTCTATAATCACAATATGCCACAAATGACAACTTTATGAACTATAACACGAACAGTTTTATGTATCAGTTTAAAGTGTATAAAGAAGTAAACAGTTATTTAAAAATATAGATAGAAAGTATTGGATCAAAAAAATGTGAGATCACTGTTAGAGCAAGTGAGTAGTCTACTGGGGTACTGTGATGTGACATTAACACACTCTGGATATTGTGAGTTTTCCAGATGCTCTAAAGACTCAATTTACCCATTTAGTAGTGCTGAGGTATCAAACACTACAGCACTGTAATTAATTATTTCCCCGCTGTTTTAAAATAATATTCACTGAACCAGCTGATTAAATACAAATGAGTTTAAATGATCATACTACAACTTTGAGTAGAGGCGGAATATATAATTGGCTGGCATCAAATGAAAGCTGTGACCACATGTGAGAACAGTTTCTCATGTTAAGGGTTCTGCCTGATTTTTTCATTAATCATCTAACCATTTTTTCTCTGCTTTTCCTAAAACATTCTTCTTATTCATCTTTCTTTCCACTTGCCTTCTCTTCAGAGGAAAGCATAATTAAACCAATTGAAAAACTATCATGCAATGAAAGTTTTCCTGAAAAATTAGAGGACCCACAAGGTAATTTCTGGGCATTCTAGATGAGTACAACTTGTTCTTTGGATATCTTGTCTAATTTTCTTTTCCACATTTGGCCTGAAACCTGTCATACAAGGCCACTATGAAGGCCAAGGTCATCTACTTTTATTTATTTTTTTTAAAGATTTTATTTATTTATTCATGAGAGACACAAAGAGAGGCAGAGACACAGGCAGAGGCAGAGGGAGATGTGGGACTTGATCCGTCTCCAGGATCACGCCCTGGGCCAAAGGCGGCGCTAAACTGCTGCCACCCGGGCTGACTTTTAGAAGTCAGACCAGGACTGGGAGAAAGAGAAGCATTCTGCATCATCAGGAGCACCTTTTCTTCAATAGTCAGGATTCTAAGACTTAACTTGCTCTCAAAAAGCTCTAGGCTCCTCTTCTTAAATTAATGATGACAATTTATATAAATGAAGCAAATCTATTGAGAAGAATTAAAAGAATATTTTCTAATCTTATAATCAGTATTCCTAGAAAATCTTTTTTTTAATTTCTAATACTCATTTCTTCCCCATTAACCATCTTTTAAAAAGTTAACCAGGTAATAGAAATGGTGGATTTTCTAGGGGTTCACTGTTGCTGGTTTAAACACTGCTAATATTGGCTCCAGCCTCAAAATTTGCAGCTCACAAGGTACTTCCAAAATAATAAGCCAAAATAATAAATTTCCTGTGCATTTTTCCTTCGCAGCTTCTTGCCTGCCACCTGTTAGCCGTTCAGCACGTGGCTTTTAGAATCCAACATAGCCCATTCTGTCAGTAGCCTTGTGATCATGGTTGAGTTAGGCTAAGTCAGTTTCCCCATCTATACAATGGAGGAAATTATATTTACCAGGGTATCATTATATAATCATCCCTAGGATTTTTGTCACAGGAAGCATGTAGTAAGTGTCTGCTCTAAGGAGGAGGAGGAGGAGGAGAGCCAGAGCAATGCTCTGAAGCTGCCAGAATGTGATCGCTGCCGTGAACTTCCTTTCAAAAATCTTTAGAAGTAATGGGCTGATTAGTGATTTAGAAATGGGCATTTGGGGTGAAGAGAAAGGTCAAATTAGGCAATCGTGCTTATGCAAAATTCAGTGTTGAGAACTGTACAAACTGATTACGTGTTCACTGTGAAAAACCTTATTTCTGTGATAATGCTGTTTGACATTTGTCGGTTCAAGAGCACACACTCACTGAGGGCCTCCTGTGCATAGCGCTGTGACAGACATCAGGGACAAGGCGTTCTGAGGCCAGACCTGTGAACACAGAACCCCGTGAGAAAGGCTTCAGTCGTAGCTGCCAAGAAGCAGTTCTTTGAAACCGCCGGTGTGATCAAAGCCCCGTTCCATACCCCCTTGCTGACAAACGTCCCTCCCTGCAGTGAGACTCCTTGAAGTTATATTCATTTGCTTCTTATTTCACTTTACTCCTCAACAAACTGTAGCGTGTCCTCAGCTGGCCTCCGGCCACTGAAACGGCTCCTCCCGTGTCCTGACATTATCCTAGTGGCCAGACCTCATGGGCCTTGCTGATCCCATCAGATCACTGCCTCGTTCGGTCTTCTTTCTTCACACTGTATTATCTTGGATATTCAGACTCTGTTCCTACTATCATCTACCCTCTACCCCCTCTCCTCCACGAGGTCCTTTTCTTTCCTGTTCCAAAATGCTGGTGTTCCCTGGAGCTCTGTTCTGGATCTTCACACATCCCCCCATTCCACCAGTTATGGGGCTGGCTTCTCTAAGGCCACAGCCCCATAACACCCTGTCTTGGTATTTCCAAATCTCCAGGCTGGCTCAACCACTACAACTTGGTTATCCACAGGCAGCGTGTCTTCCCAACAAACCTGTGCTGCTCTTAGTCACCTAAGATACAAACTGAAGGGTGTATATTCCTCTTACCCTACCCCTCCTACCTTATACACCCACTCAGTTCTCTTCTCCATTGCTTCTATGACCACCTCCTGTGGTAACCTCCTAGCAGTGACCTCCTGTCTTCTGCCTTGAGGTTTTCCCCCTTCAGCCCATCCCTCTACTGCCTCCAGGTTGATCATTCACTAAGAGTGAGGAGGATGATGATGACAGCCAACACTTATTGGGACACCAGATTCTATGCTGAGTGCCTTGCATACATCTCATTCAATCTGTACAGCAACCCTATGAGAACAGGTGTAGTTACTATAGTGATTTTACAAAATAAAAGCACAAAGAGCATGGCAGGGATGGGGGCTTCCTGGCACAAAATATTCTCAGGTAAAGCGTGGAGACATAACAAAAACCTGGTATGTTCAGGGCAAATGTAGCCTTGGGTTCACATTCTGGCTTGGCCACTCACTGGGATAATTTAGGCAAGTTCTAAGAGCCACAAGGTGTGGTTAAAATAGGCATCTAAAAGGGTTGTTATGTGGACTGAATAGGATTATCTGTAAAGCCACAGTGTAGTGCTTGAAATAGAGCCAATACTCAAAAAACAATTTAGAATTAGCAGGGCTGTGTTATTCAAGTTATTCTCGGGTGCTTTAAAATATTCACCTTCTGACTCTGAAACTTTATGATACATCACAGGAAATCTTGGAAGTTATGCTACTTACAATCAGTCAGGATATATTCCTTCCTTTCTCAAAAAAGAAGTGGGGTCAGCTGGCCAGAGGATACACTTAGCACCTCTCGGTGCAACAAGCTCAGGTAAGAACAACTTTACAGTTTTTGAGATTTCTCATCAGAACGGAGCTCTTTCTAGGTCTGTACAATCACTTTTTTCCCAAGCGAAGACTTTTAAATTAGTCTTGCCTTATTAACACAGTTCTGGTTTTGGCAAAATGTCCTTTCTTCTTCTGAAGATGTGGTTTGAGGATCTGTTATAAGAGCTACCTCTAATTAAGTGGTTCTTCTCTGCCAAGCACTCGGATTATTCCATTTAATCTTCACGAGGCCGAAGGAGGCAGACCTTCTATAGATGAGAAAACTGACACTAAGTAGTTTATCTAGGGTCACACAGCTAATAATGGTGGGGCTGGGAGAGCAACTCAGTCTGTGTAATTCCAGAGAACGGGCTGTGCTTCCTAACGAGATGTAAAGAAGAGGCCTTCTTCAGAGCTTCCCACCCAGTACCTAGCACAAGTGAAAATTTAATAAATGTTAAATGCTGTTTGCGTACCATTTCACGGGCGGTTCCTCTGCAGTTCCGTTGTACGGAGCTGAATGGTGGCAGGAGTGCCACACCCTGGCCCTGGCTCTGCAACAGTAGTAGACGGTGAAGGGTTTTTCCTCCACCCTCCAGGGAAGACCCACGAGGTTGCTCGCTCTGCAGTAGCCTGGCGTGACAGCCACATTCAGGGGTGTGCTCTTGAAAATCAGGGTCATGATTTTGTATTGAGCTTGACTAGATCTGTCCATGAATGTTCTTGAAATTATTCTAATCTAAAATAGAGGTCCTCACGAAAGCACTAACGTAAAGGCTAACGCAGATCATCAGAAGTCTGGTAAGATACAAAGTGGGAGTGTAATTTAAAAGTCGGCTCTAAAAGTAATCCTGCAGCGGGTCCTCGCCAGGATCTTATCTGAAAACTTCTCATTAGAGATGCCAGTCTTTCAAGTTCACACTGTTGGAGCTAAGACTGTAGAAAGCACTGGGCTTTTATAATTTACAATTCCTTACACAGAAATGGTAGGTAGTACTCAGTGACCTTGTGAAAAGAATCACTTCATTACATCTGCTGAAACAAAATACATAAGTGAACCTTTGATGTACAACAATGATTTTTTTTTTTTTTTAAAGCCTCAGGTATTTTAAGCCAGCCCTATGGTGAGTCACCAGCCAGCCATGTTGTGGTAGCAATTTTAAAAATAAAAGCAGAAAATCATGTTTCAAATTATTTTGTTATCTGAGTACCTGCTCCTTCAAGTGAAAGTGGGTATTTTTTAAACTATTTTTGTAAGATACTGAAGGCCTTTACTTATCAAGTATTCCATCAGATAAGCATGCATAGTCCTGTTTACATTTTTTTAAGTAAATGTTTCTCATGACTTTTCATCTTTTCATTTACTCTGCTCATCAGATTTTCCTACAGATGGTGATAGGAGGAAAGGTAAAAAAAGAAGTAAATATTAATCATTCTCAAGTGGTCAATGCAAATCCTTAGGAAAACACTGTTCTGTAAGAGATGTGTCTTCCAGTGCTCCCACTTGTGTGGCAGTTTCCCACAAGAAAATAAAACCAGGTCATTACCGAATTTACTCAACTTATTTCCCCTTCTCTCAGCCTGCCTCCCTCTCTGGCTCCTCCTTGTCCTTACCCTCATGTTTTGAGAAGAAAAATCAAATTGATTTCTTCCAGCTTCCCCATGTAATTTCTTATCCCAGGACTTCCTATCAACTCTTCCTCCCTGTGCTCTGATGGTAACAAGGACTTTGAAAAGGGACTTCTTTCCCAGATAGCCACCCTTTACAAGGACAGGGAGGGCCCTGTTCTAAGCACACTATATTAGCTCTTCTACCGAAGGTACTATTATTATGATCTGTATTTTACAAAGGTTTTATTTCTTGCTGAAAGTAACACAGTAGTGGCAGTGATTAAATTAACTATGGGCAAACATCTTTCCTTTAGCAAACATTTTCTACAAGAAGTCAAATGCCCTTTGGACACATGTGGTTCTTAAAATAAATGCACAGCAAACCTTAGAGGACTGACCCCCCACTCTCAGGAGGTATAGGTCTGGCTAAGACACAAAAGTATTTCTTGCCCTGCCACGAGATCTCAGCTCCTTTATTGGTTACTAAGTTCTTCAGCAAGGGTGCTTGGATTCTAAAAGTATTATTTCTCAAAAAAGAATCCTAAATGTCAACACTACACCCTCCTTGGCAAAATGATTTCCTCTTCAAAGGTTTTAAAAATATTTGCCTGGATGTGGTTTCCCTCAGATGCATTCAGGACTTGACGTAGCTATCTCATGACCTGGAGAGAAGATCTTATTACTCCCCAAATCCCTCATTGTGCACCCCAGGAGCCTCACCCTGTTGTTACCTGAGGGGGTTCTCTGAATCACCTGGGCTTATGGCCTCTGCCCTCTCCCTCAACTCCCACCCGCTCACATGCTCTCTCCTCCACACACGGTACCATTTTGGCCTGCAGACATCAGGTGTGGGTTCACAAATTTAACAGATGGTGCTTGTCTACACTCCCATGGGTTAGAACTAAAGGGCTGTCCCTGGAAAACTTGGTTACCAGTTCTTCCTTAACACTTAAGGGTTAACTGGCTCTTCTAAACACTTTGTCCCTGCTGTGTTAGGTAGCTTTTTATTGGCTTTAACCTGGAGAATTTTAAACCTGGGAAGACTGGAAGATAAGGACACGGTGATTATCACCAGGGCAGTTCCTCACTCAATGCTAAGTTCCTGTTAAGCTGAAGTCAGCTGCTCACTGGCCCACACTGCTCCCATGACTTCCCCTGCACTCCGAGCTTTACAGAGAAAGTATTAAAACACAAAAACAGGGAAACCACACAAATAAAAATGGTATAGTGTTAGGTGTACAAAATGGTTAGACTCATTTCAAAATTGACAAGAGTTTAATCCAAGAGTGATGACCACCACAGTGTGAAAAGATACTTCAATCCCAAATGGAAAGGCCAGACATCCTCTTCAGATAGAATACCTACGATCATCAGCTGTAAATGTGCATTGAGGAGCAGGTGAGGGAAGGACTGGAGGAAAGACTGAGGTTCTATAAAATGATTTACTGCTTTGTCATCTGAGATGTTTAACCAATTTTAGCTTGTAAATTGTTCAGATAACAAATGCTTAACAAAATAAAATTTCACAAATATCTGATCAGCCAAATATATGAAAAAAACAAAAAACAAAACCCAAACCTTATGATGAAAGGTTTGGGATCTTAGGAATGACTCACCTTTTAAAGGAATTCTGTTATCACCCATTATTTTCCCAATTTAAAAAAAATGCAGTTTCTTGCCTTTAAAACCCCATTTTCATGTTTAAAAGAAATTATAGGACGCCCTCCGTGTGGCTCCCTGAAGCCAGAAATTGGTAGGATTCACAATTACAAGTAAATTTTCTGTAATGGGTTTTATGCTTGAATATTATTCAGATATAACCACTGTGTGATTTTACAGTCATCAACACTGGGGGTATTGCCTGTTGAACGTGAACCAAGAAATTTTTGTCATTGTAGCTGATGTTGCCTACCTAAATGTGTTAAAGCATTTGAGGGAACCCAATAAAGAAATAGCAGCAGTATCAGAACTGTAAACCAGAAATATTGGCTCTTAAAGCTACTGAGAACTCTGTATCAACATAACACTGTTAGAATTTTTAGTTTTAGTATTTAAAAAAAAAAAAACTTAGAGACCACTGAACAAATCTTTTAAACTCTAAACTTCCCCATAAAATAAAAAGATAGGGAAGCCCAGGTGGCTCAGTGGTGTAGTGCCACCTTCAGCCCAGGGCATGATCCTGGAGTCCCGGGATTGAGTCTCACATCGGGCTCCCTGCATGGAGCCTGCTTCTCCCTCTGCCTGTGTCTCTGCCTCTCTCTCTCTCTTCTGTGTGTGTCTCATGAGTAAATAAATAGAATCTTAAAAAAATAAAAAGATAAATTGCTTTAAATTTGATGATCAAATGCATAAAATTCTAACTTCCAATTCTCATTTCTTCCAGAATATACCTGGAACACAAAACCCAGTCGGGGGCAGTTTTCAGGACCTACTTACAATCCTACGGCCAAGAATCTCAATATTGTGAACCGTGCACAGCCAGTTCCCTCAGTGCATGGGAGGACAGACTGGGTGGCCAAGTACGGCGGCCACCGGTAGGAGTCCGGCAGCCACCAATAGGAGTCTGATGTGAAGCCCCACAGCATTGCTCCATAGAGTCCATGCAAGTCCCCTGTCCCTGGGAAATGTCTACAGATGTCTATTTCCAATGAGTTCTAGAAGAAAAATGTAGTGGGTACTTGGAAAAGCAAAAACCATCATCTATTTTCTTTCTTTCCTAGAAATGAAATGCATTTTCTTAGCATCAGTTGCCCACAGTGCTGATATATGGGTAGGACTTTACAAAGTATTGAATAAACTATTTGCCAAAGTATCAAGTATTTGATCTACAAATTAATAGTTACTAAGTATAAGAATCTTTTTTAAAAAGGTCTTCAGAAAGTGTTTAGAGTGTTTTAGTTTTCATGTTATTTGCCTAAATTAATATTTCATCAATTGGCCTGAGAGATGTGTCTTTTTATAGCAATGAGGTAGACCTCTGTGGGCTGTCAGTTATGGTTCTTATTTGGCTAAGGCTCTACCCTACGAGTTTGGCAATAACAAAAGATGTTCATCTATCTTTTTTTCTACTTTGAAATTATGGAAGTGATAATTCCATCGTGAGCAGCATATTTTTCTTAGGAATAAATTTAACATAAAGATCTCAAAATTATGTCACCCAATTTTAGTGGAGTCTACTTGTTTTGATTTTGATCAACACATCTCCCATGAATTCGTGGTGACTATCAAACCCAACAGCTTCAAGACTCCCAAATCAACCAAGTCAAGGTTCTCTCACCTTCACATCATTAGGAAAGTTCTTGAAACTGTGATGTGTTCATCAGACTTTCAAAATACTTTCTTTCCATGTTCCTACTATACACACAAAAATGAGGTGTGCCACTTGTCCCCCAAAGCAAACTCTTGCTGCTGATCATTGACCTTGACATTTATTCTGAAAAGCAATTGCATTCAGCTCCTATAGCAATGATTTCACTTAGTACAATTTTTTTCCTTTAATTTCTAAAGTTGTACTTAAAATAGACATTTTGAACTTGGGACTACTCTATTTAAACCTACCATTTTATGGACTGAACATTAGTACTGTATATTCTTTTTAAAGAATAATGTTATCACAACTGCTATTTTTATGTATTTTCTGACTTTGTAACAAATGCTAATGTAATTGGTATCAACTTGTGGACATTATACAAAGACATCATAAAATTATAGTAATATGGTATTTTTGTACAGAAGATTCAGCTCACCTTGTTGAAAAATGTTAAAATCTAAAGAGTAATTTATGCTGATGGTAATGGTTATATATATTTGTACAGTTTTAATGTCTCAAAGCTAAAAAATTATTTTGTGTTGCTGGGAAGCTTTTATATTTCTCAATAGATATTAAAATAAATATGGTTAACTGATGTGTTTTATTGACACTTTTACACTTTATACTTATTCTTTGAGGCCTATTTGTCATTATCATACAGGCTTGTTTTTCTAGCAGTTTTAGATTTGTGGAAAAATTCATTGGAAAGTAGTTTCCATATACCCCCACCCCATTCAGTTCCCATCCCAGATTTTCCTGATTACTAACATCTTGCACTAATGTGGGACATTTGCTGTAAGTGATGAGCCGGTATCAGTACAACTTCAGTCCATAGCTTACATTAGGGTCCATGCTTTGTGTTGTATATTCTGTGGGTTTTGACAGATATATAATGGCATGTATCCACCATTATAGTATCCTAGAGATTACATTGCCCTAAAAATCCACCATTCATCCTTCTTTCCCACTCCTCAAACCTCTGGCAACCACCAATTTTTAAATCATCTCCACAGTACTCCCGTCCAGAATGTCACATAGTTGGAATCATATACTGGCTTTTCACTTAGCAAGATGCATTTAAGTTTCTTCCGTGTCTTTTCCTAGTTCCATGGCTCATGTTTGTTTATTGCTAACTAGTATTTCATTGTATATATGCACCACAGTCTATCCATTCACCTACTGAAAAGTATTGTCAAGTCTGGGTGGTTATGAAGAATGCTGCTACAAACATTCGTTGCATATTTTTGTGTGGACATCAGTTTACACCTCATTTGGGTAAGTTCCAAGCAGCGTAATTCCTGGATTGTCTGGTAGCAGTATATTTAGTTTTAGAAGAAAACACTAGGCTCTCTTCTAAGGTGGCTGTACCATTTTGCACTCCCACCAACAGTGAATGAGAATTTCTGCTGCTCCACATTCTTCACCACCATTTGGTATTGTCAGTGGTTTAGATTTTGGGCATTCTAGTTAAGTGTATAGCAGTATCTCATTTTAATTTGCAGTTCCCGGAGGACATATGATGCAGACCATCTATTCATATGCTTATTTTCCATCTATATATCTCCTTTTATGGGGTACTGTTCAGATCTTCTGCCCATTTAAAAACTGGATTACTCATTTTCTTACTGTTGAGTTTATTTGTATATTTTGTATCATTTATTTTGGATAACAGACCCTTATCAGATACATCTTTTACAGATATTTCCTTCCAGTTTCTTGTCTTTTTATTCTCTTAACAGTGTCTTTCTCACTGCACAAGTTTTAATTTTAATGAAGTACAACTTGTCAATTTTTTCTCTGTTTATAATTCTGGTGGTGTATCTAAGAAATCATCACTGAACCCAAGCTCACCTGATTTCTCTTGTTATCTTTGGAAGTTTTACACTTTTGCATTTTACATTTAATCTCTGGATCCATTTCAGGTTCATTTTTGTAAAAGATGTTAGGTCTGTGTCTAGATTTTTCTTTCCTTATTTCGCATGTTTAGGTCCAATTGTTCCAGCACCATTTCTTGAAAAAAAAAAAAAAAAAAAAAAAAAAGAAACACAACTATCCTTTCTCCACCAAACTGTCTTTGCTAGTTTCTCAAAGATCAGTTGACTGTATTTCTAGGTGTCCATTTCTGGGCTTTCTATTCTTTCCCATTGATCTGTGTCTATTCTTTCACCAATACCACAGTGCCTTGATTAACTATAGCTTTACACAGGTTTTGAAGTCAGGTTAATGTTAGTCTTTCAACTTTGTTCTTCAATATTATGTAGGCTATTTTGGGTCTCTAACCTCTCCAATATAAACTCTAGAATCAGTTTGCCAACATCCCATAGAATAATTTTCTGGGATTTTGGTTGGTATTGGACTGGATCTAGATCAAATTGGGAAGAACTTAAATCTTGATAGTGAGTTTTCTTTTAGTGCATGGACTATCTACTGGCATCTTTGACATCTTCCGTCAATGTTCTGTAGTTTTCCTAATATAGATCCTCTATATATTTGTTAAATTTATATGTAAGCATTTCTTTTTTAGTGCTAATGTATATGGTATTGTATTTTAATTTCAAACTTCAATTCATTCCTCATATATAAGAAAACAAATGACTCTTGAAAATTAACTTTGTATCTAATAACTGTTATTATCATTTATTAAGTCCAGAAGTTTCTTTGTTGATTCCTTGAGATTTTTCAACAATTACTACATCTACAAACAGAAAATTTTCTTCTTTTCCAATTTATCTTTTATTTCCTTTTCTTATTATACTATAGGGCTTCCAGTAAAATCTTGAATAGATGTGGTAAGAGTGAACATCCCTGCCTTGTTCCTGATATTAGTTGGAAAACATCTAGTTCCTCCCCATTAAGTAGGATGTTAGCTGTAGATGTTTTGCAGATGTTCTTTATCAGATTAAGAAAGTCCCTCTCTATTCCTTGTTTGCAGGAATGGGTATTGGATTTTGTCACATGCTTTTCCTGCGTCCATTGCTACAATCATTGATTATATAACTTTTTTCCTGTACCTTGTGGATGGAATGGGATTACATTAATTGATTTTTGAATGCTGAACTAGCTTTGCATACCTGGAATAAATCCCACTTGGTTGGGGCACCTGGGTGGATCAGTTAATTAAATGTCAGACTCTTCATTTTGGCTCAGAACATGATCTATCCACTTATAAATTCAAAAATATTGTTCTAAACAGTGTTTCCAAAAGGAAAAATTAAAAAAAAAAACCCACTCTTTAGAAATGGACAATATACCTCTGTATTAAAACCTGTAAAATTCAGCCAAAAGAGATCTCATGGGAAAAAAAGCATACACTTGATCTATTTCTGGAAAAACAAAAACAAAAACACAACAAGTAGGAGCACAGAAAATAGGCTGAATTTGAATATTTAGCTTAAGAAATTAGAAAATAACAAATTAAATATAAAGAGAGGGCAAAGAAAATTATAATCAAATAAAAGATCTCACCCCAGTAGCAATAAGCCTATCTAGCGTCCAGATCTTGATTTCTAATACCAATATCCAGAGTAAAAGGAACCAGGGCTTTCTGGAGAAACGACAGATTCTAGTACTGAGCATGAAATATACAATATGATACAAGAGATCTTATAGTGCTAGAAAATAACATTATAAACAAAAGCCAAAAAGCCAATAAGCAGAAGCCCACATCGATGGGCTAGGTGAAAGAAAGGAGCTAAATGAAAGAGTTCCTAATGGCTCAAAGTGCAGCACTTTGAGAAAAAAAATTAATAAAATACTGTATTATAACCCAAAATGAGAAATGCATATCCCTGAGTCTATACTGATATAAATAAGTGAATTAAGTAAGGGAAAAAAGTCAAATCTCCCATGCAGAATTCCCAAATTTATGCAGATATTCCACCCCCAAGGAGGAAAAGTACAACTCCTCAAACCTAAGTACAAACTGTACACAGCGACTTCCTTTCAAAGAGTATAGGAAGGGAGAAAAAGAAATAACACATCTGCATGAATACCTCAAGTCAGATGATCAAGGTCAAAATCAATAATACCATGTTCATATATGTGACTTTAATATTACGTCATGAAAACGGCACTTTACCTCTGTGGCCCTCCTTCTAAAATTTTATAACTCCAGTCTGACCATAAGGAAAACACTAGACAAATTCTAACAGAAGAACATTCTACAAAACACTTGGTTGGTACTCCCCCCCCAATTACCAGAGTCATCAAAAACAAGGCAAATCTGAGAAATAGTCATAGCCAAGAGAAACATAAGGAGATATGACAACTAAATGTAATCTGGGATCCTAGGTAAGATCCTGGAATAGAAAAACAGTATCAGTTTAGAAACTCAGAAAATCTGGATAAAATATGGACTTTAATTAATGTATCAATACTGACTCATTAGTTCTAACAAATATGCTATCAATAATAGGGAATGTGGGGTGTAGGTATATGGGAACTCTGTAGTATCTTCTCAAAACGGTCCTAAAAAGTGTATTTTTAAAAAAGTAGATTTGACATCTATATATTGAGCAAGTATTTACTAAGTACCTATTATGTACTAAATGTCATATATATGGTAGTAACAAAAGGGTAATTTTCCCTGACCTCAAAGAACATAAATTCTGGAGGTAGACAGACATTAAAGAAACACGCATAAGTTTGTATATTAGCAAATTATGATAGGTATATTAAGAAAATAGGAAGTTAGGGAGTTGAAAGAAGAAACCTAAATGTTGAGAGACAACTGAATGGTTTTAAGTCTTTTAAGAGGCACTTGAAATATGCCTCTGCCTGCTAGGTAGAGAAAGAACTGTTGAGCCAAACCATGAAAATGAGGAGTCCTACTAGAAGATTAAAAGATGGTAAGGTTTAGACTTGGGTATTGGCAAGATATGGCAGAGAATTAAGTATGAATAGAAAACTACTGGGTTTTAGTTTCTTCTTTCTTGCTGCTTTCTAGAACTTTCTCAGTTCAATATGTTCTTAGTTGCTTATCTTAGATTTTCTAAATAGTCAAATATATTAACTGTTTAAAAATGTTTAATTTCTTTCTTTCCAGTATTTACACCTTATTTATCTCTCATGTTTTATTGCTTTGTCTGGTGTCTCTAGAATAATGTTGATCTTGTCAGTAACAGCAAATATGTTATTATTTCTAACATGAACATAAAGCCACCAGACTAAATAAATGGCAGCTAATAAAAACCTAAGGCACATAATATGCTCGAGTCAAAAAGCACTTGAATTTGTGTCATTTTGTTCAGATTGCTACCTACTTT